AACCATAAGGCCGTACCAGTGCCAAACTATAATGCACATAAACAATATAAGAATAAAGCTTTAACATGTTATGCATTAGCAGTCAGGCTTCACATTCCAGGGTAGAACTGAGTTAAGCTAACTTACCAGAAGCTCACTGACTAAGGGCAAGCAAAGCAGGATAATACAGAAACATAGGTGGACATCTCTAGTTCAGTTGACTAGGACAATCTGCAATAGACGAGATCTAGGGTCTGCAAAAACAAAGATACATAAAATCTGGGATTGCTACTACTGTTAGAAGTAAATACTCACTATGGAGTGAGCTAGGCCATCCAATCTCCCCTAACCTAGTCTGTAGTATGTCTTATTTCTCTGCTTCAACTGGGCACTAATCTCTCGTAAAACCCTGATAGTAAATTATGTTGCAAGAGGTCAGCTTTTGTACTTTCTTCCTAATTAACACATAAAGGCACACCATTGACTTTTGTCAGAGTTAAAGCAGAAACATCACTGTTCAACTATTCCTGACTTATATCTACAGTGTTTGGCCCACTAGAACAGCAAACAATCTAAAATTTCAAAAAAATAAACTGCTACATTTGGAAATTAAAACTCTGCAGAATGCTTTATAAGATGGTTCACTAAATCAACTTAACATGAGCAGCTGCTTACACATAAGCTCTATATGGAAAGCAACTTGCAAAGAACATCCAGCAAATCCAGCTTGGCATTTGACAGAAAGAAGCATAACAGTGGTGGCAGGGAAAAAACGAAAGAGACCAGAAAAAATTCTCAGCATTATGCATTAGCAGTCACGCTTCACATTCCAGGGTAGTATCGAGTTAAAACTGACCCAAGGATAATATAGAAACATAGGTGGACATGTCTAGTTCTGGGATTTTGGAGTAAAGGAGACAACAAGATCTAGGGTCCTTCAGAAACAAATCTGGGATTGCTACTACCATTAGAAGTAAATTCTCACTATGGTGCAAGCTGGGTCACCCAATATAATGCTGCTATAGTGCTATCCCCTAAGCCTACAGTATGTCTTGTTTCTCTGATTTAACAGGGTGCTAATCTCTCATAGCTCCCTGATAGTACATTTTGTTGTAAGATGTCAGCCTTTGCACTTTCTTCCTAATTAGCATGCAAAATCATGCTATTGCCTTTTGTCGAAGTAAAAGCAGAAACCTAGGCAATTCACTGTTCAAATATTCCTGTTTTAGGATCTACAGTATTTGCGCCACTAGGACAACAAACAATATAAAAGTTCAGAAAATAATCTGCTTCATGAGGAACTCAAAGCTCTGCCGAATGCTTTATAAGATGCTTCACTAAATCAGCTTCACATGAGTAGTAGCTTACACATAAGTGCTAAATATGGATAGTAACTTGCAAAGCACATTCCATCTTGGCACTTGTCAGAAAGAAGCATAGTAGCAGTGGCAGGGAAAAGAAGAATAAAGAGAGCAGAAAAGATTCTCAGCATACCTTCATGATCTCCCTCTCTGTCTTGTACAGGGGATCACGCAAGTGCTCTACTGGTGGCTCGCTCACGTGGTAACGGCCAAAGTTTTTCTTGGTGCACCTCACGTACTAATCCCAACAAGATAAACAAGAACCACACATCAGGGCACATTCACATTCATCTGAACTGACATATGAAATAGCTGAAATGCATGTTCCTACCTTCTGCGGCATCGGGGCAAGAACTCTTGGAATGGAGTAGATATCGGTGTCCGGTGGCGTGACATACATCTGTTGCACAGAGATGACATGTTCAGCAAATGCAAACCACACAATTGACCCAGAAGACATCTACATGTGGTGTTGTCAATTTGGATAGCATCGCCAGGCACGTGTTCAATGAAATGCCGCACTTGACCAGAAGCATAATTATAGACAGCAGGTTTGGTGAGATTGAAATGCCGCAGATAGTTGTCACAAATTGCACTAGGCAGCTCAGCAGTAGTACTGACTAATGAGGAGGATAGCCTATTGCTACCTATACCTCTCTGAAGTCGAAGACGTCGTCGTCGGGGTCGGGCACCTTACGGATAAGGAAGTCGCAGTGGAGCAGCCTAATCTTGTGAAACTCGTCCTCATCCACAGCGTAGTCAACAACAGTGTCTGACGCGGAGTCCCGCGTGGAGACGAAGCTCTCGGCGGCGACCATGGCGATGTCGCCCTCCTCCCCGGGGGCCGCCGTCGACGGCAGCGGCTTGACGACGGGGGCGAGGAGGCGGTCGTAGTCGACGTCGTAGTCCTGCTCGTTGTCGACGTCGTCGTCCTCGCCGACGCCGTCCGCGTCGTCGGGGTCGAAGTCGCCGAAGTCGTCGTCCATGTCGCCGTCGCCGTACGCCGCCGACACGTCGCGCGGGCGCCGCGGCAGGGCGGCGAGGGGGCTGGTCCGGAGGGAGAGGGAGCAGGAGGTTGTGGGTGGCGGCAGCTTGGGCTTGGGCTTGCCGGGGAAGTGGCGGGGGTGGCAGTGTGGATAGGGGCAGCGGCAGCTGCGGGAGAAGGAGACGACCAGTGGAGTGGTGGAGGTCGCCATTGCTGCGGCTCGACGAAGGGGTCAGGAGGCCCCAGGCCTTCACATACCAATACCACGCCCGGTTCGTTTCTCGCAAGGCCCACGGCCCACGAGGATTTATAGCATTCAGCCCATTAGCCTAACCCAGCAAAACAGCACAATCAGTATTGCAAGTAATAATACCACTAGTTCCTCTCAACAAAAATAATACCACTAGTAGGCATAAAAAAACAGAGCGACTAGCGCCCCGACATTCGGACACGCCTCCAGCACCCGCGCTCGATGCAGGCCCAGACTCGCACCCAACACATGCCCCATGCCCATCCCCGCTCTGGAGGTAGTCCGTCCGGACAGAGCATGCAGCATGGAGGCCCACATCCCATCTCGCCCGATGCACCGTGCCCTCGCCCATCCCACTGCACCCCCGACCGATCCGTCGTGGCTTCCCGTCCCCGCTGCTCTTGTGTTCGCGGCCTCCATCTTCGCCACACCAGGAGCCGCGGTAGCTGGACCACAAGGGCTTAGGCTTCCTCCACACCTACAATCTACTTTTGCAACAATCAAATGAAACAATTGCAACATACGCTTAAGATATATGAAACATTCGAACATATACTTGCAACATAGCCATTTACAACATATGCAACATCGAGATACACACACCTGCAGCATGAAAACAGATGAAACACTTCAAACATGTTCTTCAAACATGCGTGTATAGCTATAACAACATATGCAATATCCAAATCTACTTTTGCAACATCCAGATAAAAAACTTGCAACATAAATCTGAAAACATATGAAACATACGCTTGAAAACATGCATGTAGAGTCATAGCAATATATGCAACATCCATATAAAACACTTGAAACATACGTCTGAAAACAACTAAAACACTTGAAACATTAACTTGCAACATATATGAAAACGTCCGAAACACCTGAAACACAGTGTCGCCTGCGGCCACGGCCTACCTAGTGGGGAGCTACGGTGGCGTAGGCCTCCCCTTCCTGCCAATGGTGCGAGGTGGACGGAGGTGCAGGCGTATGGCTCCCCTGCCTCCCTTTCCACGATGGGCGAGGTGGATGAGGGTGCGGGTGGGAGCGAGCAATGGTGCGTCGGCGGATGAGGCGCAGGCGCATAGACCCAGCGGCACAGGCGATGCGGGCGGGGAGCGCGGAGAGGTCCGTCCGGACGTGACGGACGCCATGGCGTATCATTATCGTAAAAAAACTAATACCACCAGTAGCAATTTTAATAATTTTATTTTATTATATTATAAACTACAGCCCATATGAAATACCCTATCAAAAAAGAATGCACGTCTCACTTTTGAGGAAACATTTTTAAATTTAACTAATTATATATAAAAAAATACCGATATTTATGATCGTAATAAACATAACTAAATTAATATCATACTATACTTTAACAATAAATATATTTAGAGGTATAACTGTTGATAATATTTTTATATGAATCTAGTCAATTTTAAAAATATTTGATGATCCTTAAAAAATGAGTTACGTATTTTTTTTTGGACAGAGGAAATATATACTTGAACGTTTAGTAATTATACGATATAGACATTGACATCTTGTTCTGAATTGTAAAGGTTCAACAGCATGTCAGCTGCAGGGCTCGAAACATGCAGGTTTACTATGGAGGGCACTTGCTTCCATGAGAGCATCCTCAGGCATTCGAAGGCACTTGCCAGACTCGTTGCCAGGTTCAGATCGCAACTTCACGAGCAAAACAAGTTTCCAATCGTAGGAACAAAGTATTCCGGCCAAAGAATATAAGTTCCAAGCCATAGCAACAATCATTTTGGACCCAAGAAATACGAGGTCTAAACCAATCCGGGAGCTCAATTCCGCGTACATCACACCGAGGACAAGAAGGTGCATCAATTTAAATTGCAAATTTTTTTGTTTTAACTTCTTTGAAAACGATTAATGTGTGAGAACCAATCGGTTCTATTCATTTGGTCTAAAACCACCCCACCAATATTAAAACAATTTACATTACATTGTATCATGCAGAATGAGAAACACGCCCAACTATACACGCCGCATAACTCCGGACCTCCCAAAGCTCCTCCCTTATTCCTTCGAGCAAGCAGAGCCACAGCACTGCTACACGATGCAGCGGTGGCTGACCTGACCTGCACCAGGCTCAACAAAAGGGGACAGAGAAAGTATCCAATGGTATACAGTTTATACTTCACTGGACACAAGAAAAAACTGCTGCCCAGCATCTCTCAACATTTTCAAAAGAACATAGCAAAGTCAATAATAAGAGGTTCTCCACTATTTATTGAGTGATGACAAGATAGCTTCAACACATCCCGATCCAAAGGCTTACGACACAGTTAACTGGAAACAGCAGCACAGGCGCTCAAGTACTAGTGCTACAAAATGGAAAGAAACAACGACACTTCCAAAGACTAGATAATAAAACAATGAGTAATGATGAGTTACGCATCTAAAGTTCAACAACAGCATGACATCGGCGGCAAGGCTCAACAACATGTAGCTTTACCATGGAAGGAACTTTAGGCTCAATGTATGTCCTGATAGCCAAGAGTCCTCGTTGAGCTTCCCTGAGAACATCAACGGGCAGTGGGGAGCACTTGCGACTTTTGTGAGCAGGCACAGAACACCTAGCACAGCTCTGATAGGACTCCAGCGTAAGGTGTTCAAGTGATGTTATGCTCTCAACAAAATGGCAAGTAAACTCAACAAGACTCTTCGCAGACGTGAATCCTAGGATCTTCACTCTCTTCATCTTATGATGCTGGTGTCCTTGCATCTTCCTCAGATCTGAGGGATCTGTGAATACGGAGACATGCTCCATTTTCTCCTGGGCTACCTAAGATGAGAAAGTAAAAAATAATTGCAGTACTGTTTTCAATGTGAGAGAGCTATTAAAATCACAGAAATATGAACAGAAACCTACATCCAAGACCAGTGTCGCCAAGGAGGGACAAGCGTCAAGAAAGGAAACTAGAGAAAATTAATCATAGGCCGGAGTAAAGGTCCATGCGGTAAGAGCAATACTTAGCTTCTTGAGGTGGAGAAACTTGCTGTGCAGCATTGGCATATTGGCCATCTGCATAAAGATGTTAGGTTAGTTATACATACTCCAAAGTAAGACTACTTGAGGTAGGATTCATGATATGCACATCACTAGCCCAGTTAAATCTTTTAAGAGTATACCTCACTTGTCGAAAGTATACTAGCAATTTTAAGGTTTGGCACAATGGATGGAAGTGCAACACAAGCATAATGAAGTGCACCCGAGAAGATCAAGCGTATGTACTCCACTTTCAATGCTTCTCCAAGTGACAGTTGAATATGATCCCGATCTCCGGCGTAGAAGAAGCTGGATATATTTGGAGCTTTGTTGTCTATCACTTGCAGACTGCTACAGCAAATAACCTCTAGGTGCCTGAGCTGCCACAGCATACAAGGGATCTTCAAGCAAACTATCTCACCACAATACCTGATTACCAACCACTCCAAAGCAAAAGAATTGCATAGAAGGCACCCTAACTCATCCCCAGTAAAAGAGACAGCATTAAGCTGCACTTTTGTCAAGCTTTTTAACCAAGGAAGTTCAGTTGTGGGTTGCAAGGAGCAACTGCCAAGTTTGAGATACCGAATTGAGTCACCACTCCCATTAGACAAAATTGAGCATGGGAAATTGTATGGTTCCCTCATTGGCAGTATAAGTGAAAGTTCTTCAATTCCTGGTATAACAGCAGTCAAAAGCCAACTGTTGAGATAACAAGAATCATTGGCAGTGTAATATCTACACATGTCAATCACAAGTTTCTTGACACCAATGCCTGAGTGATTTTTCAGGATGTGGTCTACTTTGCTAGAAAAAATCTCTGGCAATTTCATCATTTCCATACACCTTTTTATTCATACCCAATGCTGTACCATGGAAAGTGAGGTTGGGATGGCATCTCCAGGATCGTAGAAAGGCATGAGAGACACACGCAGCTTGGGCAGCATTTCACATTGGCATCAGGGAATGTATATGACGCCAGATGTCCTGCATGCAAAAGCATGGAAGAGAAGTTCAGTATCACAACTATAATAAAGGCAAATGGAAGCTTACAAAACACTGCCAGTGGCCAGACCAGATTAGACACTACAAAAACTAAAAAAACTGTGTAGATGCCCAAATCAGGCATGTGCCCAACTTACTGGTTTCTTTGCATTTGTGCCAACTACGATGGATAGGATTATGTTTTACTATACAACAGTGTGCTGTCCAAAAGAGCATGCACTTCTGGACAGGGTACCATTTTAGAGTATGTCAGGGGCCTATTGGGCCTAGGCTTGCGGCATAGCCCGTTAATGTTAGGGTTAATTAGAGATAAGGGTCGCTCTGGCTATGCCGCAAGCCTAGGCCCAATAGGCCCCCGATATACTCTAACATACCAATAGTCCATAATAATATATAAACAGGAGGTCCATGTAATTGTGCAATATTGATCAATTTTAACAGCGCTACTGTAAGAAATGTGATATAAACCTTAATAACTGAATTCATAGGATAACTGATTGAGCAGGTCAGATAAAAGAATGGCGTCCTACACCTACAAGGCTATATACAGGCCTAAGTTACAATGTTATTGCCTGTAATGGTCTAGTGCAGAAGATAACATGCCACACTTGTTAAGACTTCAAGGGAGTGGAACTTAATGATGCCACAAAGACACAAGTTATGACCTACCTAGAAAGCAACCGTTTTGTTTTTCGATTGTAAATTATAAGGAACTTATAGATGATGCAATGGAAAGTGCTTGTTGTTGATGGAACTTATGAGGCTAATAAGATGGTTGAGACATTATTATACATTTATACTTAAACACTATCTGTTGCTGAAAGTTAATTATGCACAGTTGGTAAAAAGCGAGGGTTTAGGAGTCATCGTGACACATGGTTCACTGGCATTGTACTTGCACTGAGCCTACAATTAACAAAAAATGTCATAGCATACCTCTGGAAGGTATGGTATCTGTATGTCACGTTCACCACCCTGAGAATCATCATCTCGCTGACAGGGCAAGGCCTTTGTTTTGGCCTGTGAAGCAAACAATCCATCTGGAGCACAGCACACATTGTTATGAATAATTCAGAATTTTGAGGCACAAAGCAGCAACTAACACACCAACATGTACACAGGGAGGAGAACATTTGTTCGTCTTGTCCAACTTTTAGTGCAACAATACCAACAACTTCAAATTGTGCATGTAAGCGGGTTTTTTTTCTCAATGCAGAGCCTAGCAGCTTCCCTCCCCTCAAGGCTAGCAGTTCGTTTTCTTATATTATTGTTTTTTCAAAGAACAAAGACCAAGTCGTGAGTTTTAGGGCGAACAGTTCAATAATTCAATTGAACATACAATTTTGCAAGCGCATTCCAGTCTACACACAAGATTTTTAATCTAGTTGATGAAAGCTAAGCAGCAAGACGGTTATCGGCCATCCAGCCACTTAGATCGATATATAGCCCTGGAGTGAAACTCCTCCCAGTCCCATTCCCACTCCTACCCAAACAATCTTCTTCTAGTTTTTATCAACAGAAAATTCACACATGGCGGCTGCGGAAGCCACAGGGAGAAAGAGAAGGAGCAGGCGGCGGCGGCTCACCAGTGGCTTGGGCTTGCCGCCGCTCCATAGACGTCCTAGCTTCGTCGACGAGGAGAAATCAAAGCTTCTCTTCTTCTTCTTCTTCAAAAAAAAAAAGAAGTGTTTGGATCCAATCTAATCCAACAAGGAAGTGGTGACGAGGGAATGAGTCCAGCCACAAGGGAAGGAGGTGCTGTAGACGGACTGGAACTGGACTCCATCGGTGGCGGTGGCGGTGGCGGTGGCGGTGGCGGCGGCGAGGGCGACCGACGAGACCAATGGGGAGTGGATGGCAAGAGGTGGACCCGTCCCGTCTCCCTCCGCCTGTCGGACACGTCCGTCGGATGCGGGCGCACGAATCCTAAAGCACGGGCCGAAGTTCAAGTTGGAAGAGGACTCCCTTGTGGCCTTGTCCCTCCTTGTTAACCGGACCCTGCCCGACCGCCGGCCATGGCGTCTGCGGCGGCAGCGCCCGCGGGCGAGGCCTCCACCTCGGAGCCCACGGAGAGGGGGAAGCCCATCGTCGTGCGGGTCAAGCGCAAGCCCTCGCAGACCCGCCCGGACGCTTTCTGTGAGCTCCCCTTCTCCTTCCTGTTCGTCCCCTTGAATTTCGACTCGACGCGAGGGTTTTGACTATTCATTTTTCCTGTTGTATTATCAGGGCTAGAGATTAATGAGAGGCCGGCGAAGAAGGCCATGCTCGATTTCTCCAGCCTCTCCATCTCCGACCCACCCTCTTCCTCCTCCGCCAGTGCTAAAGGTACACGAGCCCCCAAGAAAATGATTTAACTTGTCACTGGTACTGATGGTTCTTACATTGTCAGTAACTTGTTTATGCAAATTACCCCGCAAGAATGCGTGATTGCCCTGTCTGCTGAATGATGATGTTGCAAGACTTGAAATTTGCCAATGCGGATTTGCCACCTTCCATTGATAATATACATGATATAATACCAAATTCTGCTTATTCAGACGAACAATTATAGGCCAGAATTTTTTTTTAAAAAAAGATAGTTGTGCCTCCTTCACCTGCAAAATGATTTACTTGCTTGCCATGCCCACAGCTTCAGAGGAACCACGAGTTAAGAAACTTCTTGTCCAGCACATCGAGACAGTACACCATTCTGAGGCTGTTGAAGATGTTTTGCACTCTCTTTTGGTAATATAAATACTTCTTGCCTTTTCATTTGCCCTTTTGTCTTAATTCCTTCTTGTTATACTGGCTTTAGCACAGATTTGGTATGACATAGCTGTTTCTTTGTCTGTGTTTGATTTCAGTTGATATTTCATTTCTCTTATGTATCCAGTGCTACTACTGTGTTATATGGCTTATTTGTTATTTTTCTTCTCTGTGGATTCTATATAAATCACGATTGATCTTTATCACAGCATCTTTTATGCATTTCTGTTGTTAAAATACTGCAACTGAATAGCTTCTTTGAAATAGGAAAAAAATGTTGCCATTTGCACCTTAAGTTTTTATATTTGTTATCGTTTTGAAAGGAAAACAGGAGTCTGTTTCTGTTATGCACTCAAACATGTTTACACAATGGATGGGCATTACTTGTTCTCTATATCAGATGCACAAGGGTTATATATGTAAACAACTCCATTTGTTTCTGCAGCTTGCTGACTCAAATTCCAAGGAGATAAAGAGCAAGACAAAGGAGTGGAATGACAGAATCAAGCAAGACAAAGTAAGCAAAACTGATAATGTCTACTGCATTACTTTTTGTGTTCACTGGTTCCCACTAGGATTCTTTTTAATTTTCTCCTGGGACATTGTTGACACCAACATTTACTATTAGCAAAATAGTGTTTTCCGTATTTATAGCTGTTGAAACGAATTTAGTTAGTTAAATACTAAAGTGGACACTCTTTGTGCGAACAGAAACCAGAAGAGCTACGATCAGCAGCCAGACAGAGGCATGAGGTACACGTCATATAATTCTGAGTTTCTGACTGCAGTTAATTTCTTCTTCTCAAGTTTCTGCAAGTACTAAGGAGAAAATGAATTTGATGTTTGGTGTATATGATGAAATGGCTGTAAAGTGTAAACCAAGCATAAGGTTATCTATAGGAGCAAAAGGGGTTCATGTAATTTGCTGTGCAAATTTTAAGTACATCATTTACCAATAACCATTTTTAACTTGCAAAACATTTCCCTATTGGCCTATTCTATTTCATCAGGGTAAAGTTGTGTTTTCTATTATGTATTTTTTTTTGTTCCACGTAGAAGTTTGTTTCCCATACTCTGATCGGTACATAAATTTAATTGACTAGTACAGGAGTTGTTATGTGGTTGCTAGGATTGAGAGGGAGAGAGCCGAGGGAGGATCAAACCAGAGATCTCTGATACCAGATTGTTATGTGGCTGCTAGGATTGAGAGGGAGAGAGTCGAGGGAGAGGCGGCGACGGCCGGGCTACAGTACCCGCGGTGCTACAGTGAAGCGGGTACTTTTCACGCCCATAATTGTGGCGGCTGGGCTGCTAGGGAGGCTGGAGGCCGGCCGGGGGCCTTGCCCACGGCCGAGCAAGAGGGAAGGGATTTCCTTCTTAATTCTTGCTTGATTAGATCGATACATCTCCTCTCCTTATATAGAGAGGTTTACTTGACTCCCAAGCAAGGCTTACTTGACCCTTAAGTAAGCGACCCTTATCTCTAATTAACCCTAACACTAATGGGCTATACAGCCAACCTAGGCCCAATAGGCCCTTGACGTACTCTAACAGGAGTGCTCCCACAATAATGATTTAGTTTAGATTTTTGAGTGCTTACATCATTGCTACTTCTGCATTCTAGTTTGACCTCACCTGCAAGTATATGTGAATTTGTTTTAGCTCCACATCACACAGATTTATCCATGTTGATGAGCCTGATTGCAACATGATGCTGTGGGAATGACCATGTTAACCAATCTATTGCTAACAGTGTTGCATCCCAATTCCCAAATAAGGTCATTGGTTGGGAATTCGACTCTGGGAACATTCCCTTGCCACAAGCACATGGAAGCTAGATATGCAGATTTAGCTAGTAAAAGGATTATACATGCTAAATTAACTATTCTATGGTCCACACTACCAAACCTGGAGGCCTGGGTGCACTTGTGTATATTGATGGATGGCGCTGGACACTACTTGTGTTAGTATTTTAAATAATGTGGTCGTCAGGTTCTTTAGGAGCAGCATATTTGATTGTTGCAAGTGAGCAGGTTTGGTCCATTACAGAACATGGCTAGTCCCCAGGAGTTGCTATAGCATGGGCCTTGTAGTGTTAGATTGTGTATTAGGATTTCATGAGGGAAGTGCTACTCCCTAATTATCCTGAGACTAGAAAATTTATTTTTAATTATTTATAAATGCCTTAGTGTTCTTTTTCATGCACTCTTATGCATGGTTTTGTTCATTGACCGTAGGATATGGGTAGAAATGCTCGCTTTGCACAAATATGGAAGAAGTCGAAAAGGAGAAAATAATGATGCTGATGACTCATTGAGAGAAATATGCCATCTTTATGATGCTGTCCAAGTAGATCCCGATGATGAGAAGCATCAAGCAGAACCACGGTAAGTCTTGATTTATGACAATTTATCAAGTCATTTGGAATGTAGAGTTGTATAGTTGCATGTTTCCTTACAATATTCCCTGCAGGATTACCTCTTTCGAAGAGGGCGCTGTTCTATGCAACTTTCTTCCGCTTATACGGGAGTACTTGCCATCAGCTGCAGAGGAAATTGAGTCAGATATAATTTCATTGGCACAATCAAAAGGTATTGAAGCTTCTTGCCTTGAGATGCTCTCAACAGTACTGGAAAGGTTCTTGGTGCTTTCTTTATTGACTGTAATAGAAAGTGATTTCAAACTCTAGTAGTAGTACTAGTGCCCAAGTAGTAACGGTGAACAGTTTAGCTCCACACTAGTTTTGACGAGTCTAAATTTGCTGTTTAGCAGATTCTGAAGTTTATGATATCTATACTGTCAAGGAGGTGGATGATACAAACATGGAGGCCACGTCAGCAGCTTCATATCCAAGGTAAATAACTAAATATGTATCGCATGGTCTTATTCCATTGGGTTCCTGTGAGAGTGTCTTAACGAGTTGGTCTTGTTACATAAGGTTACAGGTGGACGATGGAGAAGATGAATGCTACGAAGATGACTATCCATATGACACAGATGATTCAAATGGTAACCGTACCATCATTCTACTCCCCTTAACTAATTAGTGAGATCCTTAGTTACTTAAATTATCTGAAACTCTTTCCATATCGAATATGCAGCCGAAGACAATCCACTTTATGATTATCCCGATGAATTGTCCGAGGACGAGGATGATGGTACCAATGATGAGGATCCTTTTGGAGACAAAGAAGGTTCTGACTCCGAGTATGAGAAGGAAGAAGTCGAAGCGGAAGAGGATGAATAATGTTGACTAGAAATTGCAATGGAGCGTGCGATTGTAGATGCTGGGGAGACTAGCGTGTGAACTGAATGTAATGTTTGACGATGAGATGGGTTTGGAGCTGACTGATGAATGTTTCTGTTGCTAATGCTGAAAAAAAAGAGAGGAGAAATGGAACTGTGTAACAGTTAGCATTGTATATCACGTGCGTCACTCGAAGGAAGAATTCAAAAAATATTTGGAAGTGCTTTCATATTTGTTCTTGTTAGGTTATTGCCGAGCCGAGGGCATCTTTGGTAAGGCTTTTAGAGAGGCTTCACCTATGGCTTCTGTGCGTGTAGGAAGCTTTGTCAAACACTCACGTTTGAAAACGGCTTTGAAGCCAAAAACAAAGTAAAAAAAAATGACGAAGCCGAAGCTGTTTTGGCCTAAAAGTCGAAGCCATGAAAATGTGGCTTTTCCTAACTTTACTATTTATGGAGAATGGAGAAGCTAAAGCCCTGTGAAAGAGGGTCATATTTGTGTTCATGTGTTGCAAGAGAATGTATACCTCCTTACAGATCATCTGGGAGACCTGTGGCTCGGAGATTTATGTGATGGTCATATCATTTGTTTCAATGTATATTATAAGTTTATAACTGTATTTTATACCATCACTTGATGTACAAACGCCCGCAGTTCTAACTTATTTTTGAGTATGGGTCGTAAGTCTGAGTTCGAGACGAGACAAGAAGAAACGCAAGGTCATTTGTACAAAGTAAAAAAAGGATGCACCATCTGCTCTTTTGATATTAGGTATATAGATTGCGTTGCAAAAAAAACGCACGACTTATTACGCGGTCAACTGATCGACTTATTAGCATCTGACGTCATGTGAAGGCACCTACCTGAAGTTCCTGATTTGAGTCTTGGAGATGCATTTGATCCTTCCTGAATAAAAAGAGTAACCATCTTTTTGTTACTTGTGGAGGTGTGTGCTTCCTTTGGTCTGTAAGGAGCTCTTTTTTGAATACACAGGACATCACAAACACTTACAACACACGCACACTCACCCTATGAACACATGCACACAAACCCTACCCCTATGAACATATTCGAAGAATGAATCAGCAAATTCTCGAGATTAGCAAAGTCACCACAACAAGACATGAAAGCACAACGCTGTTAAATCCTAGCAAATTCACTCCCATTAGAGTCGAACCCGAGATGCTACTGAGACTACTATATAATCATATGACTCTTTAGCTGTCTTTCTTTCTTAGTTTTATAAATAGACCACAGCGACGCAGGGAGTTCCAGGGCACCGTTACGTTGTTTGTATTTGGTTTGATTGTGCTACGTTGGCAATTAGGCTCAAGTTTCGACTGCTTGTGCAATTAGTGTTCAGATAAGTTGAAACAATATGACTTTATAATTCGTTTTAAATCTGCAAAAAGTGTTGTCCTTGTCCTTAGTTTTATAAAAGACACACTTACGCAGGGAGTTCCAGGGCACCGTTACGTTGTACGGCCCACTTTGACATGCTACTTGGCAACCAAGTTTCGACTGCTTCAGAAGTGTGCAGATAAGTTGAAACACTTTATAATTCGTTTTAAATCTGCAAAAAAGTGTTGTCCTTGTCAGGCTGCAAGACACTTAGTTATTTCTCCCTTGAATGTGATGCGGAGAAGACTTTGTTGTCTCTTTCCCAAGTGCATATGCATCAGGAACCTCGTGTCTTGGTCTCTTGGACATCCAGCCTATTCGTTTGGCTGTGGCTTGTCGTAAATGATCGTAAATTTACAGCCGTAACAGTATTTTTCTCTCACACAAACCAACCAGTAGTACTTCTTTACGAACCAGCAACGATACGAACCATCCCTAGCCACAAAAGCAGCACTGTTCTGTCATTCTGTGAATTGCAGGGTCTTTTTAAAATCAGTCAGCTTCTGACCGCTTCCGCATACTGTTTGATACAGTAACTTTTATGCTGCAATGCATAAAGACTACATCGAACACCCCGCCGTAGCGGGTCTCCTTTACCAAATTCCTTAGGATTGTCCTATCTCACCGAGGTATCACGCATAAGCTATTATTCGTGTAATCGGGTGTCTGATACAGGACTAAAGTTTACTCTGTGTTATATTGGATATTCATATGCTAAATATGAGGATTAAATATGAGCTAATTATAAAATTAATTGCACATGAGTAGATTAATTAGAGAAACGAATCTATTAAGCCTAATTAATTTATCATTAGTAAATGTTTAATGTATCAACACATTGTCAAATCATGGACTAATTAGTCTTAATAGATTCGTCTCGTAAATTAACATTAGTCTGTGTAATTAGTTTTATAATTAGGCTATATTTAATACTCCTAATTAATATAAAGATTCGATATGACAGGGCTAAACTTTAGCCACAAACACCCCTGTATTTTTTTATATAATATACACATGAAAATACTTACCCTTCGCAATTGTGTCATGGGTAATATCATATTCACAGGTTCTTACGTATTTGTGAATACTTCTTTATCTCTCGATGCCTGATCATTTTGGTCCAAGCGGCTACTCTTTTTGTGATCATCCACCACCTTTCACTTGATCTTTGCGAAATGTTAAATCCTACAATTCGCATGACAAGTCACCAAGGTGACTAAAATGCTCGCAACAAGTTTAGTTGTATATACAAAAACCGTCCCAAGTGGTTTTCATGCTTAGCCCAAGTGGCTATCCCGAAATAATCATCTTTTATTTTCAATTTTTTTATTTCAAGCATGCAGGGCTACACCACTGTGAGATCTCTCGCCCCTCTCAACTAACATGTCTATATAGCAAAATTATTTCTCAAATGCAGGAGTATACCCTGGTATTTTTTAGTATCCATCTAGTATTGGTTTTTGCATAATCATTAACATTAAATGAATATTGGTTCTAGACGATCACTGATTCTCTATTGGCCCTCGTAATATTGGATTTCATGAAAATGATGGATTTCTTTGATCATTGGCATTCGCTACGTATTCGCCATCGACTATGCTTTCACCAGCATTTCGGCAATGTGCTTCACCATCAACTTCAGCATCATTATTGACTACGGCGACGTTTCGGCGAGGGGCTTATGTTGACACAAAAGTGTGACGATGTGATCAACACACAGCAAGCCGGATGATCCGAGTGAAACGAGACCAATGATCTGTTTGGCTTTAACACAAAACCAACCGATCCTGAAAACCCAACGACGTGCCAATCAATTTGACCTGCAATTGACAAGGAGAAAAATCTTATCAGTAATTTAAAATGGAACATATCGGTGTTGCGCCAGACAGTTCCAAATGTATGGCTACATAGCCGATTCAATAAGGCTATCGACTAAATAGTCAATATCCAGCGTATCCATAAAATAAAGATCTTTAAATTAAGGATTATTGGCTAATATTAAATGATAATGATATGAATCAAAATAACCGATGCTCATGGAACATCAGAAAACATCATCGGCTAAATGGAACATGATCGATATAAAGCGTCGAGCCGATAAGTTTGATAAAAAAAGTATAATATGCGAACAAATCGACTGTCTAATATAAATGAATCTACAAACAGTTTAAATCTAATATATTATCATCAACAGTGAGGTTCGATCGGATTGATGCAGCTATGATAATGATAATAAATTAAAGCCAAAGAATCTATAAACCGTGTATATGTTGACAGATTTACGAAAATATGCTATATGCGTGAGAGTATAGGCAAATCGGCTAAAATAGCCGATGCAGTCATAGAAAACAAACAGAGTACATATCTTGATCATGAACAAGACCACTAATCGATAATTTCTAATCTAAAGTCTTACTAGTGAGGTTCGACCGGATCGATGCAGCTATGGTAGTGTCATTAAATTAGATCTCATTAACTAGTGAGTTTATTCAAGATTGAAATATGTATTTGGATGCATACTATGTTTGATTGAAATAGAGATAAAACAGTCGATCTAGCGGAATTAAGCCATCAATTATAAGATTTAAAGCGTGACCAGATCAAAAGACGACCAATTAAGATGATATGATGCCGATCTATCTCTATCTCAATCGGGTGATTTTGTTATAATTAATAAAACATTAATTATAATAAGATCGATAACTGGTGAATCAACTAAAAAATAGCATGGAAAATCTTACTAATCTTAGCAGATTCGATAACCGGTGATAGTGTATTAAACAACAAGTTATTTAACATAAGATTGATAACTTTATCTATATTATGATTCGTAAAAGATCAATCAGCTGATGTAGCCTTATAAACTACGATACAGATCGATAACTAACTTATATTATGACTCATAAAAGATCAATCAGCTGATGCAGCTTTACAAGCACAATACAAGTCGTGACGCTACTCACAAACAAGCGGGAGGCCAATCAGTCGATGCAGCCATGTTTGCTGAAGAACTCGTCGAGATCTACAGTACTCCTACTCTTAATGCGATGGCGAAACTAGAAAGATTGTATTGGTTGAGTGTTCGTTTTTTTACAATAACCAAGGTCTAATATTTATACCCGGAACCTAAATATGAATCTTACTCAAATACGACTTATTACAATTCTTGGAATAAAAGAAAACTTCCTAACTTAATAATAACTTGATCCTAATTTTTCTTATTTGTAGAATCCGACACATCTTTCTGGCGCCATTCAAGCATAGCCTATTGATGCCGTCTGCTGACGTCATCTATAAAATAGTCGATTCTGACATCGCATCTAAATCAGCTGATACCGATTTACATCTAATCAATTCCTTGATGACAAAATCCTGGAAACTTCTAATTCCCGCGTTCTTCTTCCCAAATTTTGATGTAAACAACTTCAACTTCGAATTCAGTGTCATCAATTATGCCTTTGTCATTATTTATCGAGAGGTTTCACCACCGACTTTGCCGACATCGACACCGCCTATGCCAACATATCGACAAGGGGCTTCACCGTCGATTCAGCATAATCGACATATTGCCTTCGCCAACATTTTGGCGAGGGCATCGACACCGCCCTGTTCGCTCGAGCTTATTTAGCACTATTTTTTTTAGCTATGGAAGAATATTTTTCTCTCATAATATTTCAACATAAACATCAGCATAAGCGACTTTGGCATCATCGACTATGTCTTCACCAACCTTTTGTCATGGGCTTCACCACCTATTTCGATGTCATCGACTACGCCTTCTTTAATGTTTCAGGGAGGGGCTTTAAATTTGACTTCGGCAAAGGGCTTCGCCACCGACTTCGACGTCATCAACTAACCTTCGCTAACTTTAATTTTTACCGAGGGGCTTCGCCATTACTATTGGCATATTTGACTTCGCCTTTGCCACCAATTTGAAGCAGCGGGATCACTATCGGAATCTTTGACTTCACTTTGTCGTCAATTGGACCGGAGGGGTCGCCATTGGCATCTTCGTCTTCGCATTCACCGTCAATTTGAAGTGAGGGGATCGCCATTGGCATCTTTATGTTTGCCTTCGCCATCAATTGGAAACAGGGGGATCGACATATTTGGCTTTGCCTTCGCCATTGATCTGAAGCGGGGATCGCCATCACCATCTTTGACTTTGCCTTTGCCGTCAATTGGAGCAGGGGGTCGCCATCGACATCTTTGGCTTTGCCTTCACCATCAATTTGAAGCAAAGGTCGCTATCGGCATTATCAACTTTGACTTCGTCATCAGTTTGGAGCTAGGGGTCACCATTGGCATCATTGACTTTGCCTTCACCGTTAATTGGAGTGGGGAGGTTGCCATCTATGATAATAACCACGCCTACGTCGTCTACTTCAAGTATGTGAAATAATTTCTCACAAGCGCAGCCAAGTGGGGCTAGCGAGGAACACATTAGACAAGCGATAAACCCGAAGTCCCAAGACTTTTCAGGCACCCACGAGCGAAAGCTTGAAGACGTGTCACAATCGTCTATAACTACACCACCTACATCGACCACATCAACTGCTTCTTCAATGGCCCGGTTACAAAGAGAAGCTACCAAGGATTCAAGTCTAGACAAAGGATCAAGCTACCAAAGGCAAAGTTTTGGAGGTTAGAGTGAAGTTTCGCTGAAGTTAAAAGCATCTCTAGATGATCTAAGTATAGACAAATGTCATGTGTGTGCTTTTTTCTCTCTACCTTCTTTCCACTGGGTTTTTGGGACGAGTTTAGTGATGCGCAAGCGTGCGGTTGCGAAGGATGATCCTCGCAGCCGGGTCTAAGTTACAATTGGGCCACACTTAGTTGTATTCAGCTATTGAGTCTTGTACTTCTGATCAAAACTAAATAACTAAGGGCTAATTTGGAAACTCCAATCCCTTCAGGATCCCGAACTTTTTCCTGGGTGGGTAATCCATGAGGATATCATTTTAATTATTATTCTAGTTCTTAATGGGGGGTTTTTCATCCCTGGGTTTTGCTCCCCCTTCCTTCCAAAAGAGCTCTAAGGGGCTATCGTTGGGTGTATTATATGTTATAGAAACCCTCATTAGTATGTTTAGAGTTGAATTACATAGCCAAGAGGCTTGAGAGATAATATGTTTAGGGCCCATTTGTAGCATGTAGATGCTCTTTTGTAAATACCTCGCCGGGAAATAATGAAAACATTCCCTCCCACCTCCTCTATAAAAGGAGGAGAGGGAGAAGATGGAGAGGGACTTCCCCTCACTCATTTAGCTCCCTCTCTTTCTGTTTACTGCCAGAAGATGCTCGATCATAGCCAATGCTTGTAAATGAGATAAAGCAAGCAGTCATACATATGACTAAACATTATATTCATCAACAATTAATTTTGTATTGTCATTTCTCTAGAAAATTGACCTTACGCACATGACGTCGATTCACACAAGCATCCCACATTCATTGTTACAGTAGATTCATGATCATTGCCAATTACACGTTCATTCTCATATTCTAGCACCTGCCTAACTGCCACATGGTCACAGTGAGTGAACATTCATTCTTATATCCTATCACCTGCCTAACTGTCACATCACAGTGAGTGAACAAGTAGTATACATAGATGACAATATATAAATTCAAACATGAATTTATATTTGTCATACCACTTTCATCTAAATCAATAGCTATGGTATTGTAACCAGACGAGTCGATCCACGTCATAGCGCTCCGTGGCCGTCCGATGTGCAGCCTGCGCTCCATCCTGCTCTCCACGATCCACGATTAGTGCTGCTCTCCACAATCCACGATTAGTGTGTTGTTATGTGATTGGCCACGGAGAAAACACAAATTCCGGTTTCAGAGGGGAAACACAAGGCCCATGATCCAATTTACCCCCTCAACTACTCGGCAGTTTTCATTTACACGTACAAATATTTATATTTTGGACCATCGCTTTTTAAAAATTATATGAAAATTCATGACATAGAATTTGTGTTTTTAGATTCACCGTATGAGAAAAAAATACTTTTATAATATACTATATAATTTGTAGTTTGTAAAACTATACTTTCTCGGTCTCTAAACAAACGTCGTTATCGCTTTTCGAGGAGTCAAACTTTTTTAACTTTAACCAAATATATAAAAAATATTAATAATATTTTTAGTACATAATTAGTATCGTTAGATAGATCATTGAATCTATTTTCATAGTAAACTAATCTGGAGATACAAATATTGTTAATATTTTCTACAAACTTAAGAAAGTTTGATCGACACGAATATCATAGCGACGCTTATTTGGGACGAAGGGAGTAAGGATTTTCCAAAATGGACTGTTAAAGGTAGTAATATTTGGCTTAGGACAAATCTAATATGAAATGTGAAAAAGAACATAGGGAGTATTAAGTCATCCGATTTTGCTCAATAAACTACAAAATCATTTTTATATCTCCTACCTTTAAAACAGTTTGTTTTTGCACATAAGATGGTTTTGATGGTGATTTTGCTGATGTGCTACCACATCATAGAGCGTAAATCGAACTAAGTTGAAAGTTCACATAGACAAATCGAACTAAAACATTTTCAAAAGGAATATCCAAATTTAGAATTTTAAAAAAATCTAAATATTTTTACATGGAAAAATCCTTACAAATATGGTTTAATCTTAGAAATTTTGTCTTCCTTCGAAAAATTACGAAACTAGTTTCGTATTTTTAATTAAAAAGAATCATGCTCTACCTTATGGTGCCTAGCTTGAAATTGTTTTAATGTTTTTTTACCGAATTGTTTTAATGTTGATGGACTCGTTTGGGTGCTTATTTTCTACCAGAAGCTCTCATTCTCTGCTATAAGTAGTCGGCGTTGCTCGTCCAGACTATGTAAAAGAATAGTCCAGACCGCATTGGTGTTGGTCCCCTCTCCCGAAAGAATGGGATGGAAAACAAGAAGAAGGCCATGTGCCACGGCCCAAAATTGGACAACAGTAACATAAGAAGACGGCTTTTGTGCGCGTCCACCTCGACATCGAGCAGAGGCACCACGACTTATTTGCATGCGAGCATCTCCGGCTTCTTTAGCCGTCAGCCAATCTGGCCCAAAAAAGTGTGGCTAGTGGCAAATGCATGAATTTTTTGTGAACTAGAGGTTGGGTTCCTAGACTGCGGGTCTAAGCGAGAAAGCTGTGAAAAGCTACTATTTCAGTTTTATCCTATCTCAACGAGAGTAGGATTTAACGAGCTTCGTCCATAAAGCTGCCTGCAAAAAGATGTTTGAAAAAAAAAACAGCTTCAAATAATTCATGAGACTATTGGTAAAGTTGTGCCAAATAGAACCTTAATTTTAAATATTTTGTATAGAAAACATGTTGACAACTGTGATACACAAATACATGCAATATCGAGATACATTTTATGATGGGTTTAATGTGATGCTGTAGATTTCGGTGTATTTTATGTAGATATATCAAAATAGATAACTTTAAATGAGGTCAAACTAAAACAATTCCGAACAGATGGTTTAATAGATTTTGAAAACCCTCAGGAAAACAAATAACATCTTATAAATATTAGAGAAAGAATATTTCTCAAAAAAAGAGAGAGAAGAGAAAGAATGGTATGGGAAAACAAGAAGGGCATCACGGGCCACGCCCCCCAAAATTAGCAAAAAAAGAGAGAATCTATTTCCATTTCTACTTTTTATAGCAATTTTATTTTCCTCTCACCGGTCAATCTCTCTCGGCGTCGCCTGCTTCCTCCCGCACCGAGACGCCGCTTCCTTCCCTCCCTTCCCCTCCCCTCCCCCACCTTTCTCTCTCCCTCCTCCCAGCTGCATCCAAACCCTAACCCTAAACCCCTCCCCCACCAACCTCCGCCCAGTCTCCGCACCCCCACTGATCTGGCTCCCCACCTGGGACTCGCCACGCTGGCCCGATTCGATCGATGTAGGTGAGCGAGCTTCCCGACCTCATGATGGCTGCGGGGTGACTGGGTGCGGAAGACAGGCACAGCAAGCGTCGATGGCATTGGGAGATCTCATGGAGTCCAGGCTCGGCCACTCCTCGTCCTCGCCGTCGCCGTCGCCGGCCGCGGCCGCGGCCCCGGTGCCGCCGCCGCCCCATCGGCATCACAACCACCAGAACCACGTCGCGGATGACCTCCCCGTCGCCAACGGGCCGGAGCCCAGGAACGGGCTGGAGGTCGCCGAGGTGGAGAAGCCGGCGCCCGTGGCGTACCTGCCCCAGGTGGTCGTGCTGTGCGAGCAGCGCCACCAGGGGATCGACGAGGCTACGGCCGCCGCCGCAGCGCCCTCCACCAGCGGGCTCGTCTCAAAGTGGCGACCCAAGGACCGGGTAATGGATGTGATGCTTGTTTGCAGATGCTGTTCCTAGTGCTTGCACTGATGGTATACTAGACTGTTCGCCAGATTTGGCGCGTTGCGTGGGAATGGGGCGGGACATTCTTAGGGTAGCAATTAGCTGACTGAGCTTAAAAATGGCAAATTGGGTGCAGCTGCCGGTCGTGTGAATTGATTATGATATCTGCAAACTGAACACTATTTATCAATTTCCGTTACGGAATACGTTATGATCGCTAAAAACACCCCAGAAGTCACGGAACATGTAACGTTCTGCTCGCTACTCTTGCGAGCAGGACAATAGTGATATGGTGGAATTAATTATTGCTTGCCACAGCCTAGTATCTTCTGCTGCTTAAAAAAAAAGGGCGTACAGCCTAGTATCTTCTGCTGCTTAAGTGTTTCAAAGGAGACCGCGACTGTTCTGCTGCTTAAGTGTTTCGAAATGTTGTCGGGGCTAGGGGCTTGTCTAAATTACATGTCAGTGTTACTCTTTTACTGTATGACACTGACCATTTCTTTGTTCGTAATAAAAATGGATGCAAAACGAAAATATTGTACCCAACTGTGTTGCTGTGGGCTGTAACATCACTCATGCAAATTCTTAATTTCATTAACCACTTAAATGTGGCACGATGATCACCGGTCTTTTAACTAGTATGTTTCAGATAAAATGTAAACAGTATTATTCTGGATACCTAACTGGTCCTGTAAATATTTTGATGGTCATGGTGGCGTATATACATACAGAGCAAAAAATGCCAGCCCCCTCCAAGTTCCTAGTGATACTACTACTATCAGTGACTTGTTGGCATCATATCTAGTCTTACCGTGTTGCTGTAAGTTACAGGCAAATTTGCCTCAATAACACTACTCTATGAATCATTTTGCTAACAGCCCACTTTCAATTTTGCCAAAGTTAAAACATAGACAAAGCCTGGATCATGTCAATTAGTAGCCACTGGTCAAGATAAAGTTGGCTGACCCCAATCTTTTGATGTCATTGGAGGCTTAAGACATTCCAGTAACAAAGCTGGCATGAAAGCGCATGGTTGTTTCAGGGTTACCACTCGCCATATTGTACATGTTGCAATGACATGAAGCACCATGTGAAATAGGGTGTTTCAGTTCATGGCACCAGACATATATGATTGCTAGATAGGAGGTTTTGATGATAAATATAAGGTTGAACATTATGAGCCTTGAAGTTCCCCTGTGAGAAACATTAGAGACTATTGATGCTCTTGGGCAAAGAATTCAGAACCGCTTGGAATTTCTAAACATTAGATCCTTTTTGGATTTTCAATGCACCATGTAAATTAAGTTGTCCTTTCACACTTGAGGCAAAGTCACTTCGGTTTGCAGCTTATGTTCACTTGTCTGAGGATCATGTTGACTTTAAACAACCCACACCTGTTATTTATTCTGTTTACTATTTTATTTAATTCCCTGTGTGTTCTCTCTGGTGCCTTGATTTGCACCATACATTACTGATTTAGTCATTGTAGAATTTATAGCCATTCTCTATTGTTTCCGTTTGGCCATTGGATGGCTTGCCATTTCTTTTTATAAGTTTTCCGCATCTTTTACACGATATTTACTAATGATGGATTTTGTAGTGCAGATGAAGACTGGATGTGTTGCACTTGTATTGTGTTTAAACATAAGTGTTGATCCACCTGATGTAATTAAGATTTCCCCTTGTGCAAGAATGGAGTGCTGGATAGGTAAACTTTTAGTTGGCTATATATTTCCAAATTTCAAATTAGTTGAAAAAATACAGTAAATGAACTGCTTTTCACCATTTGAGTGAAACTGTGTCTTTTTTCGTGAATATCATTTCTGAATGCCTGATGAGAGCATATTGTTAATTAGAAGTACACAACAAAGTCTTTTAGTCCCAAGCACATTGGGGTAGGCTGGAGATGATACCCAACATGAGCACCAACAAGAAGTAAAAAGAAAAGGGAAAAACTTGTACAAATATACACAAGGCATCAACAGTATAGTAATATTATTAAAGGATCTAGAGCCTTGTTCATGGTTCATTCTTGTAGATAGCTGGTTTCCATGTGCTTCCATAGTTCCATCCAAGGACAATCCTTGCATGTATTCAGTCCTTCCAAGTAACTTTTCTTTTAGTATATTGCTAATTTGAAGTAAATCACAAGGAAACTATCTGGCACCTCTTTTCTCAAAAGACACTGTTAAAATTTATATTCTGAAAATGAGATTGTTTTGCTCCATAGTTTTTAGATGAATCTATTCACGTTTTAAATTTAAAGTTAAGAATTGGCATTTCATTGTAAAGGAAGTGAAATTTTCTATTGTAAGATACTGCATCTATTGGCCGTGGTCATGGATATATAAACTAAGATGGTTATTTTGTCAAGCAAGTGTTACCAGACTTTAGGCAACGGTGGTAATTTACATTTGTTGATAGGTTTGTACTGCATTACTATTATTGCACTCATTGAGCTGCTTTGTGATATGTTCATAGGTCTATTCCTTTCTTTTCAGATCCTTTCTCTATGGTACCTCCTAAAGCTCTTGAAAGTATTGGAAAAACTTTGCATTCTCAGTATGAGCGCTGGCAACCTAAGGTAAAGAACTTGCTTCCCTGTTTAACTTCAATGCTATTTTGGTGAGGATTATTAGCATCTTCATGTCCTATTTCTAATGGCACTTGAAGGCTCGATACAAGCTTCAGCTGGATCCAACAGTGGAGGAAGTTAAGAAGCTTTGTAATACTTGCCGCAAATATGCCAGATCAGAGAGAGTCCTTTTCCATTATAACGGCCATGGTGTACCAAAGCCTACATCTAATGGTGAGATTTGGGTGTTTAACAAGGTAATATTATGAAGACACTGTAATATTTGCCTCATGCTTTATTTATGATAGGTGTCTCTGATAAAATGGTTGTTTTTGCATTTTGCTGCAGAGCTACACACAGTATATTCCACTTCCAATTACTGATCTTGATTCATGGCTGAAGACACCTTCCATTTATGTTTTTGATTGCTCAGCAGCTGGAATTATTGTGAAAGCTTTTCTAGAGGTATGCTACATGTTTCTAATTATCATTTGTTTCTCTTGTGCTTGAAGTTGAAGGTCATCATGATTTATGTGTTCTGTTTTTGTTCCTGGACTGCCTAATATTCATAGTGACTTGTTTATTTCAGCGCCTAGACTGGAGTTCTACCTCCTCTGCATCTTCACAGAAGGATTGCATTCTTCTTGCTGCCTGCGAAGCACATCAAATGCTACCTCAGAGTGCAGAATTTCCTGCTGATGTGTTTACGGCTTGCCTCACAACGCCCATCAAAATGGCTTTGCACTGGTTCTTTCTCTCTCCCTCCTCCCTTCTCTTCTTTGTGTGTACATGCTTATTGGTGTGTACAGTTCCTTATCTCCTCTCCTTTTCTTAGCATGTCGTGCTTACATGAGGACATGCTTGTAAACCATGCAGGTTTTGTAAGCGAACATTACTCTGTGGTTCTCTGGATCATTCTCTTATTGACCAAATTCCTGGAAGGCAAAATGACCGTAAAACACTTCTTGGAGAGCTCAATTGGATTTTTACTGCTATAACAGATACTATCGCATGGAATGTTCTCCCTCATGGTACGGTGTTTAGGGGAGAGAAATAATGTTTTGGGGAACAAGAAAACTAGAGAAGATTATTGAAGTTCAATATAAATATTAGCCTATATTTGGTATATGATACAAGTTTCACTGTGCAGATCTGTTCCAAAGGCTTTTCAGGCAAGACCTTCTTGTTGCTAGTCTCTTCCGTAACTTCTTGCTTGCTGAGAGAATCATGCGATCTGCAAACTGTTCTCCAGTTTCTTATCCATTGTTACCACCAACACATCAACACCATATGTGGTAACTAACCTGACTCGTCCTTCTCTTTTTGCTTCAACTACTTTTTGTGCATTTTGTAACTTGCTAAATCCCAGGGATGCATGGGACATGGCTGCTGAGATTTGCCTTTCCAAGCTTCCTCAGTTAATCGCTGATCCAAATGCAGAGTTTCAGGTTTTCTACTCATCATTTAGCACTTCAAGAAACATTAATAGTTTTTGTGTGTTGTTATTGCTAATTTCTTTCTCCTTCAAACCAGCCAAGTCTGTTTTTTACGGAACAACTGATGGCTTTCGAAGTGTGGCTCGATCATGGCTCTGAGGACAAGAAACCTCCTGAACAGTTACCCATAGTTCTTCAGGTAAGGCATTTTGCTTTTACACTTACATACAAGTCATTTTTTTTTGTAAAACCCAGTTTAACTTTGTACCCTCATTACCCTTCTCTTTGCTGCTATAGTTTTAATTTGGTAAAATTTAATATTCATATTCCTTTATTCAATCACAAAAGACTCTCATTTTGGGTTGTGTGCAGCCAGCATACCAAAAATTCGATGTTATTTGCTCTGGTGTACATCGAGATTTGACATTTGAAAATGTTATGGGTAGATTTGTCCCAAAACATATACCCATAATCATATAATTTTACTATTCCTTATAAATTGTTGTAGTACAAATTACTTGGCCAAGTTATGTCTTGTGGATTGTGTCAATACCCAAAATACACTATTTTATGACTGGAGAGATTATATTTCTTTTATTGTTTTACTTTCCTTCTTACATCTTCTCTTTTTTGCAGGTCCTGCTTAGTCAATCACATAGATTTAGAGCACTTGTTCTGCTTGGAAGATTTCTTGACATGGGACCATGGGCAGTTGATTTGGTTTGTAGTGACCTCTTATGCATGTACCTTTTTTTATGAAATGTTTGTTGTTTTTTCTCTTTATTTAGTCTTCAACCTCTGGCACTTCATTGTTGTAGGCCCTGTCTGTCGGAATATTTCCTTATGTACTCAAACTACTTCAAACAAGTGCAATGGAGTTACGTCAAATTCTAGTGTTTATATGGACAAAAATTCTCTCTCTTGATAAGGTATGCACTCTTCATTGTAATCTTTTAAGGTCCTTTTGTTGTTTTAGATTAGATTCTGGTGTTTAACCTGTAACATTTTCCCAAATGGCAGTCATGTCAGGTTGACTTGGTTAAAGACGGAGGACATGGGTATTTTATTAGGTTTCTTGACAGTTTGGATGCTTTCCCAGAACAGCGTGCAATGGCCGCTTTTGTTATAGCAGTCATTGTGGATGGGCATAGGACGGGTCAAGAGGCTTGTATGAATGCAGGGCTTATAGATGTTTGCCTGAGACATCTGCAACCTGAGAATCCTCATGCACAAACAGAACCTTTGCTTTTGCAGTGGCTTTGTTTATGCCTTGGGAAACTCTGGGAAGATTTCCCTGAGACTCAGTTACTTTGTCTGCAAACAAATGCACCAGAAATTGTAATATGCTTATTGTCAGAGCCTCAACCTGAGGTATGATGCCTTCATATTCTGTGTACTCTTTCTTTTGCCTACTTCCCAAGATACATATTAAACATTTGGTCTTGCCAGGTCAGAGCTGCTGCTGTTTTTGCACTAGGGAATCTCCTTGATAATACGTTAAATGGCTCTGATGATGATTCTGATGATGAAGAAAAGGTGAAAGCTGAAATAAATGTAGTTCGAAGCCTTCTGCAGATGTCTTCAGATGGTAGTCCCCTTGTTAGATCTGAGGTTGCTATAGGTATGTGCATTGGAAAATTAGATTGTTTTTCCTAGAACACTTGTTTTAGTGTCTTGAACATAGGAGATTTCTTTTAACCTTATGACAATGATTTTGGGTTGAACTGATGTTTTTCCAGCGCTTACTCGCTTTGCGTCGGGTCACAACAAACATCTCAAATCTGTTGCTGCGGAGTATTGGAAACCTCAATCCAATTCGTTGCTGAAGTCACTACCATCATTGGCAAATATAAGTAATCCAAGCAATGTTTACAGTCCCAACAACAGCATTGGTCCTGTGCTGAGGGTTGGCAGTGATAGCGGTGCCGCTGGTCGTGATGGAAGAATTTCTACAAGCAGCCCAATTGCAACAAGTAGCATCATGCATGGCTCTCCCCAGTCAGACGATTCTTCCCAACACTCTGATTCAGGCATATTACTGAGGGAGAATGCAAGTAATGGTGGTCTCAGCTATGCTAGGCCGAGGCATGTCGATAATGTCATTTATTCTCAATTTATATCAACTATGTGTTCTGTTTCTAAAGATCCTGACCCAAGAATTGCGAGTATTGGTCGGAGAGCACTGTCCCTTATAGATGTTGAACTAGTGGTCATGAAAAATACCAGATTTAACAGTGGAGGTCCACATCGAGGAGAGACATCTTCGTCAAACTATGGAATGGCACGCTCTTCTTCTTGGCGTGATATGAATTCTGGTAAGTTATAACCACTTTACTTATGATGTGCTTGGAAGTTGTAACACCTTGCCTCATTGGGTGTTCATGGAAAGACAAGAATTGTCTTGACTTGAGTTTTCCTATATTTTTCAGGAAGCTACTCGATGAAATTTATGACCCCTCCTGTTAGCCCCCCTCAGCATGATTATCTTATAGGATTACGCCGAGTGTGTTCTATGGAGTTTGGACAGCATCCTATAAATTCACCTGATGGATTAGCTGATCGCCTTTTAAGCTCTGCTGCAGGCCTCAGTAATAGAGAACCACTTCCCCAATCAACAATTTACAACTGGAGTTGTGGTCACTTCTCTAGGCCACTTTTAACTGTCTCTGATGATAATGAAGAAACCAATGCTAGAAGAGAAGAGAGAGAACGAATTGCACTAGATTACATCACTAAGTGCCAACGCTCCTGTACGTCGATGTACATTTGTCTGCATTACATTATTGTTGTTGGTTTTCTTGATTATTTACCTGTTGTTTTTCTTGGTGGTTCACCCTGGGAATAACAGCTTGCAAGATGACAAGCCAAATTGCTAGTTGGGATACAAGGTTTGATTTGGGAACAAAAGCAGCTTTATTGTTGCCATTTTCTCCAATCGTCGTTGCAGCTGATGAAAATGAACAGATAAGGTGAAATTATTATTGCAATTAAAAATCCTAATATGCACTGCTACAACTGTGCTGAAATTCTGTCTCATTCCAGAGTGTGGAACTACGGCGATGCACTACCAGTGAACTCTTTTCAAAACCATAAGTTATCCGACAGAGGGCTATCTAAACTTTTGCTTATCAATGAGCTTGATGAGAGCTTGCTTTTGGCCGCCTCAAGTATGCCTCTCTTCTCTATGCTTTTCCTTCTATACTTAACTTCTGCCATTGCACTGTCTAATTTTTATGTTGCAGGTGATGGAAATGTACGTATATGGAAAAATTTTGCTCAAAAGGGAGGACAGAAACTTGTAACTGCTTTCTCATCAGTTCAGGGACATCGAGCTGCTGGTCGCAGTATTGTGATTGACTGGCAGCAGCAATCTGGTTATCTGGTACATCCTATTTTTTCCTGTAGTTGTATTATTTTATTTCACGCATTGCATGTTCTAATACAACTTGCTCTCCTTGTCCAATAGTATGCATCTGGTGACATGTCTTGCATCTTGGTATGGGACCTTGATAAGGAACAGCTTCTCAGCACCATTCAGTCAACTGCTGATAGTGCCATTTCTTCCCTGGTGAGTTCCTGTGGCCTTGTGCTGTCTGAGAAATTGGAATATTCATACAACTATACAAGTAACTTCTTTTTATTATTTGACTAGGCTATATGTCACACATTGTCACTGAAGAAATAACCATAGATATGTGATTCTGCGTTTTCTATTATGCGGTTCATGCTGTGTACTTGATCTTCCCGTCATATTAATCAATAACTTAGAACATTACACTGTAACTGCGTTTCACCGCCAGTAATTAAGTGCCATGGAATCAAGGGTTTGTTTTTGATAGTGAAATTGTGACAAAAAAAAGTACACATGGTAGGAAGGACTCTAGGTACATCTGCATGTGAGTTGCTAGTAGAGGTAAAGTGGAGTCACACTATTCTTGCATGAGTAATGATTGTATGCATGCATCCTCCTAGACTCCTAATGATTATGTGCCATTCATATGGTTAAGATTTTATGCATGGAAGTGGCATTTCTTGTTGCTTTCTGTAGGAAAGTTGTTAGCTTGTCTTAAGTTGGTTGAACAATGTGAACAAGAGGTGAATTTGGCAAAGGATTTGCTCATGTTATGTCTTAAGCTATGACTTGTTTTTACTCATAAAAAAATAAGTACTGTCCTCCAGTAGTCCAGTGTAATGTTTTTTTTTTAGCTTGTTGTTATACTTTTATAACATTTTAAAAGTTTGTTTCTCAAGAACACATTTTCATTCCATAGGTGTGAAATTAGCTGTTTGATTACTCTATATATTTGATTCTTGCTGCAGCAAGTTTTATGTTAATCTGGTTTGTGTTGATCTGTTTTTGAGATGTTGCTTGTTGCTTCTATTTCAGTCTGCATCTCAGGTCCGCTCCGGACACTTTGCTGCTGGTTTTGCTGATGGTTCTGTCAGGATATATGATGTTCGCTCTCCTGATAGGTAAGTACAGTAGTGTCTACATCCTCTGGCCTTGCATTTCATGCACATGTGCCCTATGAAATGTCCTGTTTCCTCTTTCTTTTCTGCCAACTTAATTATTTGTACTCTGAATATTCTTTTTCTACACTGTAGGCTTGTCTATCTGGCCAGGCCGCATGCCCCAAGAACGGAAAAGGTTGTGGGCATAGGGTTTCAGCCTGGGTTTGATCCATACAAGGTAAATACTTCCACTGTACATTGCTATGTATTTTCGTTGTTGAAGCAACTAAGCAATTCTATAGTTGTCTGGGCTTTCCTTAAGCTTTACAATGCTCCCTTTTGTATTATTTGTGGTATCACAGATTGTAAGTGCATCACAAGCTGGAGACATTCAGTTTCTTGATGTTAGAAGGGCAGCAGAACCCTACCTGACTATTGAGGCACACAGGGGTTCACTTACAGCTTTAGCGGTTCATCGGCATGCCCCAGTTGTTGCTAGTGGCTCAGCCAAGCAGATGATTAAAGTGTTTAGTCTTGAAGGAGAGCAGTTGACGATTATTCGCTACCAGCCATCTTTTATGGGTCAAAGAATAGGCAGTGTAAATTGCCTTTCTTTTCATCCATACAAATCACTCCTGGCTGCTGGTGCTAGTGATAATGCTCTTGTCTCTATCTATGCTGAGGAAAATTACAAGTAAGATGAGGCCTATATCTTATGACAATGCAGCCACAGTGCAATCGGTAGGCCTTCCATTTTTGGCCAAGTGATGCTCCACAGAATGGTCCAGCTTCAAGATCCAAGATGATGGTAAAGCCTTGTCACAGAGACAGTGTTGATGGCGCCTTGGCTTTCGGTGCATATATTGCCTGTTGGACGGCGTGTGCAATTTGTAAGATACAGTCAAGATTCATTAGCCTCCTTGCAGAAGGTTTGTGGACCCTACCCTGATCCTGCCATTGAACTCGGAGGCTCCCCCCAAATAATTAATCATACCCAGGTTAACCAAAATGTAAATAGCCAGCGAAGATCCGGGTTGTACTTTGCCAGCATTATTCCTTTTTCAAGTGTAAAATGGTCTGAAGATGCTTGATATGATAAACAAGGCTTGGTAGGGGCTGCTGCCTGGGCAAGTGGGGGTTGTTCATATGGGCCCAGGTAGAATGGTTGCACATGTCTGCTCACAGATGTTGAATAGATAGATGCATTTGTCCAGCTAATATAGCGCTAGATGGGGGTAGTATTGGCCTGCATGAATGAAGGAATGTTGTCGAGTGACTTGCATTGTAACCCTTGGATAGATTGTCCGTTTGTATATATGAATCGTGTTTGTACAGTTGCCTGCTTTCTGTCCCCCCAAGTTGTGATCCGTGCAATGATGTGTCTTACGATGGTGCATTCCAGTAGAGATGAGCCGAGGTGCTGGAACAGTTGAAGGCGGTCTTGTGATCTGTAACTGTAATCCCCAGCAATGGCCACCGTGTTGTTGAGGTGATTGATGGTAGAGGGTATGTGAGTCTTCGTTGAGTGATTGATCACTTTCCCCATTGCCGTTCTGTGCTGTAACAGAGAATGAGGCTTTACAGCAGGCTGCATTGTCAATGGAATGATGGTCTTGATCCGCTTGAGAATTCGGTTAACTTCGGGAACCATAAGGAAAGGCATGGATTGCTTTGCATCATGAGTTATCAGATGACCGTGGAGATACATATCTGTGTTGTGGGAAGTGTGCTGAGTGAAAGATAAAATGTACTGTGAATCTTGTGTCGATAAATGTTATTCTATCTAGTGTATAATTCAAAACTCTGGCTGCTTTTATTTAAAGGAAAAACATCATGTGTGATCTTTTCCCTAATTGCAATGCAAGTTCCCTTAGTCTTTCTGAAACTGCAGCATCGCTGAGCATAAAAGCTTCGTCGCAGTGGCGAGCGCGCCCCCACGCTTCCAGACCAGTGCTACCATGGCCCGGAGCCGCCACTCGGAACCGCGGCCTGACGCCACGGGCCACCAGCACCGCCTGCTGTCCACCCTGGCGCGCCACGGCCGCTTCGCCGCCGCCGCGACCCTCTTCTGCACGGCCCACCGCACGACCGGCGCCCTCAACGCCCTCCTGGCCGCGCTCTGCTCGTCCCGCCGGTCCCCGACTCTTCTCCGCGCCGCCCCCGCCGTGCTCCTCCGCGCCGCGCCGCACGCGGCCCCCGACGCCGCCACGTTCCGCATCCTCACCTCCGCGCTCTGCCGCGCCGGCCAGCCCACCGCCGCCGCGGACCTCCTCCGCTGCATGCCGCCGCTCCTCGTCGACCCGGACCCGCGCCACTGCCGCGCGGTCCTCGCCTCGCTCTGCCGCCGGGGCGCCGCCCCCGCCCAGGACGCGCTCGCGTTCCTCGACGACATGCGCCGGTGGGGCGTCCCGCCGGCCCGGCCCGACCACCGCGCCGTCGTTGAGGCGCTCCTGCGCGAGGGGTTGGCCGCTGAGGCGTACGAGGTCGTGGCCAGGCGGATGGACCGCGACGGCGTCGCCCCGGGCCTCCCGGAGTTCGAGCGGCTCCTCCGGGCTTTCCGAGACCGCGGACGGCTCGACGCCGTCGAGGAGGCGTTCGACGAAATGCTCCTGCGCGGGCTCCTCCCCGGCGCGCGCGTCTACGGCGTCTACCTCGGCACGCTCTGCGACGGGGGCGACCTGGCCGCCGCGCGCCGGATGCTGGGCTGCATGGAGCGCGCCGGGTGCCCGCCGGACGCCCGGACGTTTGGCGTCGTCGCCGCCGGGTGCGTGGCCGCCGGGGATGTGGACGCCGCGAGGGAGGTGGCGCGGGAGGCCGTCGGGCGGGGCCTGCGCTGGGACGCGCCCGCGCTGTCGGAGCTGGTCGCCGCGCTGCGTGCCGGCGGCTGTCTCGCGCCGGCGCGTCCGCTGCTGCTGGACATCCTGCGGGACGGCTGCTGCGCTGCCCCGGCTGATGCGGCGGCATTTGAGCGGCTGGTTGGAGAAGGAGCGTCGTGCGACGGCGGCGAGGGTCTGGGCGCCGAGGCCGCCGGAGTGGTCGGCGAGACAACGCCGAACGACTGAGCTTGTATTCCACTGCCATTCCATCATTTGCGGCGCGCACTGAACACTGACTGATTCATAGGCACCTAGCAAATGCGGAGTACTGTAGTAGCTGGCCTCTGGTGCACTTCTTTACAGCGTCATTACGCCGGTGTGTGTCCTTGCCGAGAGGCCGCCACCGGCGACGGCGAGTGTTGTTTTGCTTCCGTGCTTCGCTTGTGAGGCAACAGCTACTGACAGGTGGGTCCACCTGTCGGTGGGACCAGCTTGCAATTCGGACAAAACGCGAATTTTTGTTCTGATAAAAAATGCTACAGGCACACGCGGGGCTCAAAGGATCGGAAATCATCTCGTCCGAACGTTCGTGGTGTGCCATTAAAAAAGGGGCTTTTATATTTTTATCATTATTAAAAGTGCCGCTCATCTGATTATCACTCTTAGAATGGCACTTATATTTTTACCAGATGAAAGAAGCTTGAGTTTCTATTTTACCACATTTTCGCATGTGGCAAATCACGCCACCAAATAATCCACGGGTGCCCGGTCAAAGCATGGGCAAATGTGAAATGTACCCTTGCCCCGCCTCCTCTCTCTCCATCTCCGATAGCCGGGTTCCGCTGGTTCGACATGTCAGAAAAAGTGGGCCCCCACTCGCCTTCCGCCTCCAACCTCCGCACTGAGTGATGGATAGATGAAACCACCGCCGCCATAGATCTCGTATCTCCAGGCTTTCGCCTGAGGTTGGCCTTTACCCTACCAATCGAGGCTCCTTTTCTTTATTTATCGCCTCTTTTTTTTAGCCTTTTTTCATAGCCCTTTTTTTCCCTAGCTCCCTTTATTACCGATTCCGTGATTCTATTTATTCTTCCTTTCTTTCTTTCTCCTCTTTTTAGTTTTCTATGTTCCATTCGGCGAGAATCGGCCCACGATCTCTCTCTTCCGGGTGAGGAAGCCTCCTATTTACGCTTTTTATTTTTATCCCTCTCTTATTTTTGGTAGCTCATGAAGCCGCCGCCTTTACCCGAACGCCAGGCCGCATTGTTTACTTTTTTTCCTATATTATATGAGATACGCTTGATCCACCAGCGTGAGTATCGATGTCGAATTTTCTATGAAGTATTTTGTTATGTTCGCGAGTATACATATGATGTTTATATAGTATACATGTGGTGTGCTCTATTGTATATGTTGTGATCTTCCGCCACCACCATGTATTTTTATGAGGTGTCCGTCGCCACATGTGATGTTCTATTATATGTTTTGTGATGTTCTGATGTATTTTATGCCATGTAGCCTTTATGATGTGGCGATATATGTCAGATGGTATGGCATATGGCACGTGTTCTATAATATAGCCTCGATGTTCACCTCCCATACAGGCCCCTTCCTCTGATGAACAGTTGTGAACCATGGCCATGGGCATGAGATGTTTATGCCCACTGGCAAATACATGACATGTGTCTATGATACTCATGATGTTCATGGAGAGAGTGATGTTCTATGATGTATTAGCAAGGATGTTCACGTGCCCATACATGTGATTGGGCACCAACGTGTTTTGGTTCACGTGGCTTACCACATGCGCCGTCTGAATGTAATAGAAACTCAAACTTCTTTCATCCGTAAAATGTAAGTGCCATTCTAAGAGTGATAATCGGATGAGCGTAATCTTAATAATGGTAAAATGTAAAGTATTTAAAAAGATCACGATGTTCTTATGTGATTTTAGGTTCTTTTCTCGAAATTCTTTTATTACTTTTGGTCTCCCATTGCTTTAACTTTTTACCCTCCATTTTGCTTTTTAAGTCTAATCTCTCATGAAGTCTTTTGAATTAAAAATTTTTGTGAGCATGATGTCACGTGGTGTTTTTTAATCTAAAATTATTCTTAAGTCTAAATATATTTTATTAGATTTAATATGATTATATTTTATAAAAATATAAATTTACTTTATAAGTTGTAAAACCGTCTCAGAGATCTGCGGTATGAGGATGATTATATAATCTTTTGATTAGTGTTCTACAAAAATTTCTATATTATGATTTTTCATTTGAATTAATTTCTTCTGCTAAAAAATTTATTTTCCATCTATTTACACGGCTTCTTTAAAGTAAAGATGGCAATGACTTTTCACACTCTTTCTTTTAGGTTATAATATATAACACCCTTTTACACACGTAAATCATCTACTAAAACATGTCATGAACATCATGTTTAAAAATACATGTGATAAAGTGTGTAGATCAATTTTCATAACTCTAAATGATCAACTAAAATATCAGAAGCTCAAGTTGATTCAATAGTCTTTTTATATCACTTAAGGTTGAAAACCTTTTTTTTATTAAGCAAAAATGCTATATAACATTTATGTTCCTTCCTAAAGTTGGATATTATTTATCTTCTTTTTCTTTTCTTTTTTTTGTTTCCTTTTTATTATTTTCTTTTCGTGATTCTATTCTTTCTTTCTTTCTTTTCTTTTTAGTTTTCTATGTTTCCATTCTTATTTTATTTTTTTATTTCTTCTATTTTTTAATTATACTTTTCTATTTACATATTTTTATTTTTATGTTTTATTATTTTTTGGTTTTTTCCTTTTCCTATGTTTTACTAATTTTTTCTATTTTTACTTTTTTTCCCTATATTATATGAGATACGTTTGATTTTCACGTAGTATATATGCGATATTTCTATGAAGTATTTTGTTATGTTCAGTTAGTATACATATGATGTTTATGTAGTATACATATGATGTTCTATTGTATATGTTGTGATCTTCTGTGATGTATTTTTATGAGGTGTCCGTAGTATACATGTGATGTTCTATTATATATTTTATGATGTTCTATGATGTATTTTTATGATGTTCACGTAATATATATGGTTCATATGGTATAGGCACGATGTTCTATAATATACTTTACGATGTTCATGTAATATACATGTGATGTTATATGATGTATTTTGTGATGTTCCGTGATGTATTTTTATGATGTTCATATGGTATACATACGATGTTCTATGATATATTTTATGACGTTCATACAGTATACATGTGATGTTCTATGATGTATTTTATGATATTCACGTGCTATACATGTGATGTTGTATAATGTATTTTGTAATGTTCACGTAGTATACCTATGATATTCTACGATGTATTTTAGAATGTTCGCATTTAATAAGTGAGATGTTCTACGATTATCTTTGAGTATTCATATAGTAACCATGAGTTGTATGGTATTTATGTAGTATTCATTTGATGTTCTTTAATGATTTTAGGTTCTTTTTCCTTGTTTCCTCTGTTACTTTTGACTGTATTCTATTTTTTTATACTTTTATTTTGTTTTATCTCTCACGTGGCTTTTTTATATATTTCATGAGATGTCACGTGGTGTTTTTTTAATCTAAAACATTATTCTTGTGAGGGTAGAATATGTTTTATTAGATTTAAATACTCTGATACGGTTTACAATAATATAAATATTTTATAAGCAACACAAACGTATGGTGTAGTGGTGAGGGATGATTACTATAACCTTTTGATTAGTGTTCAACCTCTCCCATATATTATTTTTATTTCTATATTAATATTTCTTCTAAAAATATTTATTTTCCATCTCTCGTCTTGGTACACGACTTCTTTGTGCGAGTAAAGATGACAATGGAGACCTGCGACCCGATACCCGATGGATTTACTCCATTAGGGTCTAAAAATCATCTACTAAAATATGTCATGAGCATCATGTTTATGTGTTAATGCATGTGATAAAATGTGTAGATTAATTTTCGTAACTCAAAACGATCAACTAAAATACGAAACGAAAGTTGATTCAATAGTCATGTTATATCACTTAAGGTTGAAAACCAATTTTTATTAAGCAAAAATGCTATAGAACATTTATGTGTCACCTTAATAAAGTTAGAAGTACAAACTTTGTAGATGACAGTGAAATAACTACGGTCGAAAAATGATATTACTAGCTAATATTTCCACTAGCTTAGAAATCGTAAATAAAAATCAAATTCAGCTCAAAAACTTAGAAATTTTCAAGTCTGCCGACAGCTAGACATTGCTGTGTTTAACAATTTATTGTGAGAGATTGTGTTAAGGAGTGGTGTAGTGTTATGATTCGATTCGGTAGTTCCATATACCATCTTGAGTGTAGTGAAGACGGTTTAGGTTTAGGAGCAACCGTTTGGTCGTGTTGAGCGCTTTAAAATTGCGCGCGTTACTGGCGCCTCGTGTTGGTTGGCGAGGGGTGTCAGGTCACCGTCAAGAGCAACTTTAGTAAAGCCCCATGAGCTACCCTCACACGTCAAGGCCGCGTGCGGGCCCCACGCGGGCCACCCACCAAGTGGCGGTCGACACAACGGGACTACTAAGCGTGTTGGCAAACCGGTCGAAAATCATCGCTTCCGGGTTTGCGAGGCCGGCAAGCTTGCAATTACTTTTATATATCGAGCCACCGCCCCGCCCTCTTTGTAGCTAGCTAGCTTCTCGCCGCGCGTTTTTAGCCTTGGGTGTCGTCATTGCGTTTTAGTAACCTTGCTATCGTCGTTGTGTCGCTACTACCGCTATTCCTCGCATTGCTAGACACCGCCATTAGCTTTGTGCTTTTGCGCTAGCATGTGTGTAGGAGCTCCTTGTTGCTTAAAGTACTAGTGGCATAGGCACCTTGCTCCTAGAATTGTTTAGCTCCAGCTTTGATGTCACATAATTAGTATCTTGGCAAGGTGCTAGCATATAGCTATAGTCATTTATGACATCGATTGCGTTAATTCGCCGGTATATCGCTATAGCGTTCGATTAATTTTAGAAAAGACTATTCACCCCCCCTCTAGTCCGCCATCTCGACCTTTCACCCGGTCTCGCTGCTCGTGTCCGGCCAAGGCGAGGACGAGCCGAGCCCACCTGTCGAGCCGTCTCTCTCTTTCTCTCTTCTGTCTCTCTATTTTTCGCCATCGTCGCGTCACGTCATGGTGAGTCAGAGAGCGAGCACCTCTCATTAATTCCTCATGCTTGCGTCTCCACCTTCACGTCCCCTCTCCAACCGCCCTCACCGTGCCTTGATTGCGGCTCAACCGAGCTCCAATTTTGGAGCTTTGCCGCCACCGTGCCACTATGAACCGTTGCCGCCCCGCGTCGTGGCCAACCTTCACCACTTCACCCTGCGTAAATTCCTCTGCACCACTAGCTCGCCTTGGCTCCCTCTCCACCGTGCGCGCGCGACGCTGGGAGGGAGCGCTTCTCCGCCTCCTCGCTGCCGACGCTGCCTTGTCCGCCGTGGCTCGTCGCCAGCTCGTCGCGCGCATGCGTGGTCAAAGACTACTTAGGTAGTTGCCGGCCGAACCACCACTTCGGCCGGGATCGCGGTGTGCCCCTGGTGCTTATCCCGTATCTCTATCGTCCTGTTAGCGCTGTGGCTCACCGAAACACGGTTGCCGCCATTGCAGGTCGCCCGCCTCCGAGGAGAGCCCGCTCTGCTTCACCCCTGTTCGTGCAACCACCGCCCATCGTCCCGCGTTGACCCATACGTGAGCATCGGTCCCCTAGCCTGGTCTGCAAGGGTCCCGGGTGGCTAGCATACCGCCTAGTGCCACCGCTCGCTGCGTCAGAGCGCGCGGGGGAGGCCAAGGACCATGTCGTTGTAAAGAGAAGAGAGTACGAGGGCTTCGTTGCAAAGTCACTGTCTATAGAAATAGTAACATGGACTGCGAGTTGTTTTGCTCATAGTCCAAGCGCGTTTTTGCTAATGTACTAGCGCGAGCGGGATTCTCTCGCCGCGGGCCGCCTCGCGCTGTAGGCCGGCCTGGCGTGGGCCGCGTTGGGCCGAAATCGATTTATCTTTTTTCGTGGAGAATAGAAATAGCTTTTTATTTTAATTCTGAGCTGATCTTTGGTAAATCATATAAAATCATGTAGGTATCAAAAAATTGTGAAACAAATTTTGTTATGTTTCTAAAATTGTGCTCTATCTGTTAGTGTATTTAGTTTATATATGTGCTTGTTGATACCAGGAGCTATTAAATTAGTTGAGAGTGCTTAACACATGTAGTATATCAGCTTGGTAGTTTAGATGTAGCTTGTGGGGACGTTTCCGTTTATTTTTAATAATGCAATTTAAGGGGCTATTTAGATTATCAATTAAAATGGTAGGGTGGGTAATTTATATGCAAATTTAGATGTTACTAGATTGTCTCATAATGGCAAAGGTGTGTAATTTAAACATGATTTTAGTGGTTAAATGGAAAAGGAGTGTAATTTTGTTAGAAAACAAAGTAGATCACGTTGCTCTTATATATTATATATAGAGATTATACTCTAATGTAGTGATGGCCTAATCTTTTGATATTTTGAAAATCCTTATAAGATATATCTTTTTTGTACTAGTATGTCCCATGAGGATGTGTTGAGACCTCTAATTAGTAAGGCAATGGTAATATGCATGGTTACTTTCATCTTTTCATTGTTTTGTAGATTTTCCCCAGATTTGAGCCGGAGAATCTTGACAAGAATGCCCAAATATTTGAGCGTGTTAATTCAATGGCAACAAGAAAGGGATGTACGCCATCACAACTTGCATTGGCTTGGGTTTGCCATCAAGGCGATGATGTTTGTCCCATACCTGGGACAACAAAAGTCGAAAATTTCAACCAAAATATCGGAGCATTATGTGTGAAGCTCACACCGGAGGAAATGAAGGAACTTGAGTCATACGCTGCTTCGAATGATGTCCACGGAGACCGATACCTTCTGATGGGCACCACCTGGAAGTATGCTGAGTCTCCTCCGCTCTCTTCTTGGAAATCTGAGTAGCCTGATGCCCAACTTTTGGTATCTTCAGATACAATCAATTTTTTCTAATATCTTCAGCTTTGCCTGATGTAATGGTTCCAAATACTTGTCTGGCAGAAGGGGCTGCTTATAGGTTTATATTGCAATAATCCCCTTTATATCAGCTTGGTGTTGTTACCTATGTCGGCATGCCTATGACTAGTACTCATCATACAATAAATAAAGTTATGTAAGTGAGAGCAGCATGTTGAATTGAAACTATGGCGTAATGGTATATACATCACTCCTTGGTAGTGCCATGCTCTTAAGAAATAATTAATGTTTCTCTCCCAAATCCACCTTTTTTTTCAGGAAAACACTTGGCGATGCAAATTGATGGTTTCTTCTCTATTCAATTTATTCGCCGTCCAAAGTATATATATATATATATATTTTGGATGGAGAGCCGATTTGCAGAGTTGTTCGATGAGTGGCGCTTGAGTTGTTTTTTGCTTTAGCTTTTAAATTTGCAGAGTAATTTAGGATCCCTCCTAGCTGATGAACTGATTACAATTATTACAAGAGATAGATTGATAAAATTTCAGCAGCGAAAGGGAAAAAAAACGACGATCGATGGATCCTTTTAATCATTGACGGAGCTTCCGACGGCGGCCATTTTCTTGGGCGGCTGCTGCTGGATGACGAGGATGGAGACCTTGGACGCGAATTCCGCGGAGGCGAGCATGTCCCCCAGCACACCCAGCTCCGGGAACTCGCTCCACTCCGACAGCCCGCTGGTGAGCGCCGTCGACCCCTCCGGGTCGCCTTCGCTCTCCCCGCCGCGGCGCCCCACGATGAGCAGGTCGAACTTCTCGCTCATGGCGCGCACCACCGACGCGGTGCCCTCCGCGTCCTCCACCGTCTTCTCCACGTACACCACCCGCTCGTTGTCCCTGTGCCTGGCCCAGAACTCCTGCAGCAGCTCCTCGTCCCGCGCCTCGTCTTTCCCGCCCATCCCGACCCAGTTCCGGAGCTTGAACCGCACCACCGTCAGCGACATGGTCCCGGCCTCGGGCATCCGCGCCGCGTACGCCAGCGCCTCGCGGTCGTCGGCGCCGCCCAGGAAGTAGAGCGCCGCCCGCTGGAGCAGGCTGTTGGCGGCGGTGGCGCACGCCGACCCGGACGCGAGGCCGTGGTCCACGAGGATGGCGACGGAGCAGGGCGCGTACTGCAGCACGCTCCGGTTGATGGAGCGGATGGCGTTGTTCGCCGTGCTGCGCGCGCCGTCGGAGGACTTGTGGAAGGGGAGCAGGATGAGGTTGGCCTTCCGGCTGTGCGCCAGCGAGCACACGTCGTGGTGCATCGAGCTGAAGGGCGCCTACGCCACGTATGGGCTCACCATCACCGCCCCCGGCGCCGCCTACTGCTCGAAGTACCGAAACATGTTCATGATGCGGTCTGACGACGTCGGGTTGCCACCGCTGTTGGATGACCTCGTACTCTTCCGGTGGGGCTTCAGCACGGACGCGGCGCGGCCGACGAGCTCCGTGAGGTGGAGCACGATGAGCGACATGGGCGAGTCGCGGGAGGAGCCCGACGCCTCTAGCAGGTCGATCAGTGGCGCCGTGTGGTCCTTGCTGTAGAGGTAGGTGAGCACGCGAAGGTCGGCGCTGAGCCGCGCGTGCTCCAGCGACCGCCGCTTCGCCCACGCGAACTACCCCGACGGGTCGTACAGCAGCTTGATCAGCGACGTGGACACGGCGGTGATGAGCACCATGGACATGGTGAGCGTCGAGTAGTGCTCCGCCGTCGCCTTCATGGTGTCGCCCCAGTTGTTGATGGCGGCCACCTCCACGATGCCCCGGATGTTGAGCATGAGCGCCAACACGATGGCATCCCGGAACGACATGGTGAAGAAGAGCCCCGCGGCGACACAGCCGACGAGCTTGCCCGACACGCAGAGCGCCACGAACAGCTCCAGCGCGCACCACTTCTCCGACGCCTCGGACCTGGTGAACTCGGCGAGGTCGGTGCGGTAGCCGGAGAGCGCCATGTAGACGGGCAGGAAGAGCGCGATGAAGAAGGAGTCGAGGCGCTCCGTCATGGTGGCGCCGATGGGCATGCCGCCGGGGAGCGCCAGCCCCAGCATCATGGGCCCGATCATGTACTCGAACCCGATGGCGTCCGTCACCAGTGCCGACAGCAGCGCGGCGATGACCACCACCACGAAGGAGCCCTCGGAGAGGAGCGCCCCCGTCGGGGTGCGCTTGTACGCGATGTACCGACCGGCGGGGCGCGCGACGAAGCCGACGAAGAGCACGAACGCGACGAAGGAAGCCAGGATCTTGGCCGTGAAGGCTGGCGACCTGGCATCACCGATGAGGATGACCGCGGCGGTGCAGGCGCGGATGAACCACGAGGTGACGTCGGTGATGAGCGACGCCGTGAGCGCGATGCGGCCGAGGTCGGTGTTGAGGAGGTCGAGGTCGGAGAGCGCGTCGGCGATGACGGGGAAGGAGGAGAGGGAGAGGCGGACGGCGAGCTCGGTGACGAGCGAGGAGCCCTTCAGGTCCTCGGGCAGCGTGGGCTGGAGCGCGTGGAAGACGGGCAGGGTGACCGCGAGCGGCACGACGGCGCGGCCGCTGGGCCGGCGGAGGAGGCTGAGGTCGGTCTTGACGCCCATGGAGAAGAGGAAGAGGATGAGCGACACCAGGGACACGCTCTCGAGGATGTAGGTGCCGCGCTCCGAGAAGAGCACGTCGCGGAAGGACGCGCTGCGGCCCAGCACGGAGGGACCCAGGAAGATGCCGACGAGCATGTGGGTGACGAAGCGGGACTGGCCGAGGCGGCGGAGCACCAGGTGCGCGGCCGCGGAGAGGACCAAGATGACGGAGACCTGCACGAGGAGGAGAGGTAGGGAGAAGCGCAGCGGCTGGTCGCCCAGGAACACGCCCTGCGAGTTCACCAGGTTGTTGTCGTAGCACGCCGCCGCCAGCGGCTTCACCGTCGGCTCCAGCGCCCTCGACGTCAGGTTCGCCACCGCCGCCATCTCGCTCTCCGGCGGCCTCTCTGTTGGAATTGGATGCTAATTAAGTGATGATCTTGTCAGCTACCTAGGCTGCATGCGCCATTGCATTGGTTGCTGCCATTTGCTTGGAATTGGATCGATCCGGCTCTTCTTGTGTTTCTTTCTGGGCAATGAGGGCATCAATTCAGTGTGGCTGTGAGACACTTAATTTCTTTCTCGAACAATTGGCTGTGAGACACTGAAGGGCAATGCACGCATGGCAGAGGAGGGGCTTTTGATTTGCCTATTTGTAGCTGTGGATGAGAGGGACAATAGACGGAACCTGAAGATATTGGTCCATAAATAGAAACAAGGATGACTGTAACAATATTTGAAAGAATAATTACATGCAGGGGCGTTGCAGTTGAAGGCAAACATTGGATTGGACTGAACTTTAGTACTACACAAGTCTAAAGATATGGGATGAAGCAGCTTGATGTTGGGTAACTTAGTCGCTTTCAACAAATCGGTAACGGTACGAATCAGTTGTCCGTCCACGGCTCCACATCGGACGTCTTTTTTTTTTTTTTGACGTAACGATCAAAAGGCTTTCTATCCTATCCGTAATATGCTCCCTCCGCTTCTTCTAGTCGCCGCAGATTAAAAAAAACTAACGGTGACACTGCGCTCCACGACCATGCTCCGCTGTGTCTCCTGCACGCCTTCCTCTCCACCATGCCTCCCGCCGGCCTTCCTCTCCACCGGCGCCGCGGCGTGCTCCCCTCGGACCGCACAGCCGCTGCCACCTCGCCGCACAAGGTCGCACCCACCCGACTGCTGTTATCGGCTCCACCGCGTGCGCCCCTATTGCCGGGGGCAGCGCCACCGCTCACCTCGGACCGCCCCGCTGTCATCCTCCTTCTCCACCATGACCGCACAGGCGGACCCCGCTGTGCAGTGCTCCGCCTACCCGGCTGTTAGGTTTTGCTGAAAGCGCATGTTACTAGTGTATGTTTCTAGTGTTTCAAAGGTATGTTGCAAGTGTTTCAGATGAATGTTGCAAAAGTAGATCGAAATATTGCATATGTTGCAATGGTTGGACACGTATGTTGCAAAGGTCTATTACCAATGTTTCATCTGTGTTTTCGAACGTATATCGCAAGTGTGTTTATCTGGATGTTGCATGTGTTTTATCTGGGTATTGCGTATGTTTGCAAAGATTTTCAAGTGTCCTAAGGTGTTTTTTTCAAGTGCTTCAGAAGCATGTTGCAAGTGTGTGTTTTAAATGTTTCAGTTGTTTCATACATATGTTAAAGTGTTTTATCTGAATGTTGCATATGTTGCAGTGGCTACACACATATGTTGCAAGCATGTGTTTCAAATATTTTATCTGTTTTAGACGTATGTTGCAACAAGTCCTCCATGTTGCAAGTGTTTCATGAGGCGCAGGCGGTCCCCATGAGCTAAGGGCACAACAGGGCGAGCAGACACATGCGTGTAGTATTGTACGGGCGAGCAGTAGGGCACAGACGAGCAGGAGCAGGGCGCGGGCATGCAACAGTAGGGCGAGTAGAGCACGGCGAGCAGCAGGGCGGGCAATCGGGCATGCATGCTCTGATGCGCGTCCGTGTGTGGGGTAACCAGAGGAGCGTGTGGGAGACAGCCACTCAACGTGGGACTCGTAGCAGAGGCAGGGGCGCTGGAGCTTTGTCGTTTTCTGTCGATCCGTTTTGGCGGCTGGTTGGCCCAGTTGACAGCATAGGGAGCTGCGCTCCGCTGACTGTTCAGCCGCACGTTCGCTAGTGTGCATGGACGAGTGCGCCGCGTGGGCTGCATGGGCGAGCACACGTTGAGCTAAGCGGCACGCCACGTGCGTCCAAACGTCAGGGCGCTAGCAAGCCCCCTCTTAAATTTATATTGTTTCTTCTTCAATGGATGTGAATGGAGATGGACACGTTGGCCGTACCCTGTTCGTTTCGTTGAAAAGACAAGCTAAAAAAAGTACCGTATGCTAATCTGTTGTGAGAGAAAAACACGGTTTTTTCAGTGAAAAAGTACGGCAAAAAAATAAAAGACGAGCGAAGAGGGTCACGACGGCTCTGCTCCAGACGGCAGCGTTGCCATCGCGCTCGCGCAGACGGGCCAGAAAAGAGCGCGCCAGGCTCTAGGCTCGTGGGCCAATTTTTTTTAGATGGGTCTCTATAAAAATATCTGGCTCATGACTTGAGATTCGACATGGTAAAGTCTATTATATCTCCCTAAACCATCGCCAAGTGTGATTTTCCTATTTGAACTCTAAGACCATTCAAACTACCTCCCCGTTCTGATTTGGAGTGCTTTTGTCCTTCTTTTATTTAGTTAAAAAATGATTTATACTCAATAAGGTTTATAAACCAGAAAATATCTCTATGCTTTTGAAAATCCTGAAAACAATTCTAGAGATAGATTAGGATACACCAAATCCAAATAAAATATTTAGAGCACATGAAAATATCACTAGATGCTTAAAGAAATAGAATTAACTCTAGGAAAATGGAAAAATCTAGGAAAATGTAGAAAATTCCAAATTCTAATCAATGTATAAATGTGTTTTCAAATTTTGCATGGCAAAAATGCAACTAGCATGAATGCAACATATATCATTAACGCTGAATGCATCCATGCTATGCATTTGTGCTGGTTGTGAATTATGTTTTTTTATTGTGATAAGTTTTTAAAATACGTTTATAGATTGATTAGAATGTTTTGGGAATTTTCTAGATTTTTCTATTTTCCTAGAACTAAATATTTTCACAAGCTTTAAATATTTAGATTTTTCTATCTTTCTAGATTTTTCTATTTTCCTAGAACTAAATACATTTGTACATTGATTAGAGATATTTTCATGAGCTCTAAATTTTTTATTTGGATTTGGTGTATGCCAATCTATCTTTAGATTTTTCTTTTGGATTTTTAAAAGTTTAGAGATATTTTTTGAGATTGTCTTACCAAAATGTTTATCAATTTTTAATAAAAAAATAAAACCACCTTTAAAACCACTCTAAACCAAGGCAGGAGGTAATTTGAATGGTTTTTAAAAATCCAGGAAGTAAAATGTCTAGTTTTCAAGTTTGAGGAGGAAAAATCAAAACTATCACGCTGGTTCATGATGATAGAACGGACTTTTTCCATTTAACATCGTTCGCCTATCTGTCTTCCAGCCCAAGACCAGCGAATAAGACACGGCCCATGGAGGCCCAAAGAGCACGCGCCCTCCCCTCTAGCTAGTTTGAAAGAAAGACAACCTGTCTACTCGAGGCTTTTTAGCCAGTTTGGTTGAGACCGACCCTCGGCGACTTGCCTAGGCCTGAAGGCTGAAGCTGTCATCATCTTCCTCAACTCAAGGTCAAGGAGACCAGCAAACAAGCAGTCATCATCTTCCTCAAGTCCGATTGCTGCTTGCTTTGGACAGCTTGGGGGAATGAGGCAAATAATGGCGGCAGCAGCGATACAGGCTCTGGAAGAATCCGTCAGACGTTCCGGCACCCGCGCCCTGGGACGGCTGGCGCCCTGGAGCCAGGACACACGGGAGGAGCTAGCACTCAACCTGTCGCTGCTAGCGGAGGCGTTCCTGCAGCTGCTCGCGTCGGGGCTGGGGACGCTCGCCCTCGTCTGGGCAACCGTCGTCCTTCTCGGCGGTTATTCCACCGCGCTCGTGAGAACGGATTTCTGGTTCACCACGGCCATCGTCTTCGTTGAAACCGCCAGGTAATTAACGTGCTTTCATACTCAGCGTCTCAGCCCATGCATCTTCCTTATTCTGAATCTTTTTTTTTATCTTTCGAAAAATCCTTCTTTTTCATTTCGAGATCTTCGGATTCAGTATATATATAATTTAGGCCGCGTTTAGAATGAAGGATTTTCACGGGAGAAACGAAGAAACGAGAACAGAAAGGAACGCAAGAAACACGAAACCCTTTCCTCCGGAATTGAAATGCTATAGATATAGATGCCAATTTTGCGGGAAAGGAAAAATCGACTCCCAGTCCCAGCCCTTGTTTCCTCTTCCGTCGCATAAGTCCGAGGCAGCTCACAGCGTAACTCGGCGAACAACCGGAGATTAGGCAACAAGCACCGCCTACAGAAAATCAAGCAAGATCGCTGCCAAGAGCAAAGATCTCGGACTTGCTTGATTTCGGTGATTGCGACGGCGTGGAAAATATCTCAGCAAATATCCAGGGTAAACGATGGTAATGGCTGGGAGCCTGACTGCCTGAGAACGGTGGGTAGATGGATAAGATTATAAGAACGACGATTGCAGGAGGTAGAGAAACTTAGTTCATGGACCAAGGGCCCCACATGCCATACAATTTCTTTAACCCAAACCACGATACCAGAGATTCCCAAATATGTCATATTTGATTGCTGTCTGCTGTCTACCGTCTGCTTTTCAAATTCTGTACTTTAATGTTTAACTTTTTAATAAAACTACAGTAGGAGCCTCTCCCACTGATTCCTCAAGCAAAAATAATAATCATGCGCAATCACATGCCTATTAATTAAACGATAATGGCGTCCGTCAGTCACTGTCTGCCCGGACGCTCGCTTGCTGAGCCTGCGGACCGGCCCAGGCAGCCGGGCACTCATCTCTACTATCCTTTACTAAAAAAAAAACGCTATTTCCAATACCACAGCATCCTGCCCGCGTGGCCGCTCCACCGCCACATCCTGCCCCGTGGATGCTCCACCGGCTCATCCTACCTGCGCGGCCAACTCCACCGCGACATCAGGCCGCCGCGACTGCTCCATAGCGCCACCCGCCGCGACGTTCTCCACCACGCCGCCTAACCGTGGCCTCGATCCTCCATCTCCACTGTATCCGAGCACCGCGGCCGCCGTCCTCCCTCTCCACTGCGCTCACCGACCGTTGCGCGACTTCCGTTCTCCATCACGTTTGCCCCGCCACTTTGGTCTGTCTTCCACGACATCTCGCGCCAAGAGCGGTGACCAATCAGCCTTCCCCTCTTTCTCTAGGCGCCCAATCTGCTTCCTCGCTCACCCGATCCCACCTGGTAGGCCGTGGCCATCGGCGACACTGTGTTTCAAGTGTTTCATGCGTTTCAAACTTATGTTTCAAGTGTTTCATCTTGATGTTTTAAAAGAAGATCTAGCGTCTTGCATATGTTGCAATGACAATATACGCATGTTGCAAGCCTACATTTCAAGTGTTTTAGACGTATGTCTCAAGTGTTTTATCTGGATGTTGTAGATGTTGCATAACATGCCTGTTGCAAACGTATGGTTTCAAGTGTTTCAGATGTTTCATACATATGTTGCAAGTGTTTCATCTGCATGTTGCAAAAGTAGATCTGTATGTTGCATATGTTTGCAATGGCTTTTTCAAGTGTTTTAGACGTATGTTTCAGCTGTTTTAAACGTATGTTGCATTTTTTTCATATAAATGTTGTAAAAGTAAATATGGTATTACACATGTTGTAATAGGACCCACCTGTCGCAGCCTGCTACAGCCACTGGGACGTAGTTGTGTATCACCGTGATGCATCTGTGGTGCGTATCCATAGGTGGGGCGTGTGGATTCCCGTGCGTGCGTGAAATGGAACAACCATGGGTGGGCCCTGCGTACGCGTGGGAAACATGGGGCGTCGGGGCAGGCCCGCTTGCGCGCGGGAAACGTTAGCGCTAGCCGCCGTGGGCAGGACTAGTCATCCAAGCGGACAGGGCGCATGGCATAGAGAAGGTGCGGTCGTTCGGAAGTCCCAGAGCTAGTGCATCCGTTAATTAAATTGTCACTGTTTTTTCTTTACTCCTTATTACCAAAAACATATCTTTACAAATATTTTATTTGTTAATTAAAATTTGACATTATAATGACAACTATTTGAATAATAAAACAAGTATTCATCTTTTTCAATCATACCTCATATTTTAGGAATCCTATGTTATAATTCCTACGGTCCAAACAACCCTATCTTCTTGTGTTTTTTCATTCCTCTGTTTTTTTCCAACAACATATATACCCCGTTTCTGCATTTTTTTCCTTTGCTTTGTTTTACATTCCTTTGTTCTAAACAGGCCCTTAGTCGATGGTGTTGGTCATGATCATTGTTAAGCCCAAATTACTCCCCTCCACCTAGGAAACTTGCAATACCCTAACACAGTGATAGGGTGCAGGGTTAATCTTGCATTCAATGACGGTCACATTAATGGGGCCCGGCCCCACCTTCCTTGCAACCTTCTCCGCCAAATCTCGCTTCTTCATCAATCCATCCGGCACCCCTTGATTGCGATCCCAAACTAAAATTTTGTCCAGCTTGTACGCTAGCACGTTAGAAAACCCATCATACTCTCCGATCACCACTGCCGCTTCCCGGAACAGCCATGGCCTGCCTTCCATCATAGTCCAATCACCAAGACAGTACATTTGGACCAGGAAAAGATTTCCACCAAGAACCTTGAAGATCACACCTCCTTTGCTGCTGCCCATGCAATCCTCATTGCACTGAACAAGGACGCGTGACCTGAATGGCTTTGTAGTATGAACCCTAAAAAGGGCAAGCCAGCGTCCTTGACCAATTCATCAAGTTCCGCCGAAAAATCCAGATCCTCCTCCTCGCCTTGCAGATTCAAGCCTTCCAGTCGATCATCTAGGCTCAGCTCCCTCGACTCCTCGTGCATCCCTTCCCCCTTCTCCTTCGTAGTTTGATCCACCATGCAAGACGCTCCAGCGACCCCCATACCTCCCAGCGGAGGGGAGAGAGGCCCGAGCCCTTGGTCTGGAGGAGAAGATCACGTCGCCGTGAGAGGATGTGTACTCTTTCCTACTCTCCTCATGTACGACACAGATGGTTGTAAAAAACGAACTTGTTTTTACTGTTGCATGATTTAGCTTGTCAGACCATTGAACACACAGGGAGTGAATTAAACACACACACACACACACACATATATATATATATATATATATATATATATATATATATATATATATATATATATATATATATATATATATATATGATATATATATATAATATATTGTACCAATTTACGTATAACATGAATATGCATTTACAATACTCATGTTACTATAACTCATGGTGATATTTACGATAATGTTATAGTAAATCACTTAGTAAGGAGTTACTATAATCTCGTAAATTAGCATGGTAATTATCGTAACTCAAAGTGGCCATAGAATAAGTTATTCTATGGCCAGCTGCAAAACAGTATATATATATATATAGATAGATAGAGAGAGAGCTTGTACTTTAGGGTTAAATATTTTTAATAGTAGATTATATTGGTACTTATACATATATCTGAGGAATATTCTTTTTTATAACAATAACGTGAGGTAACTTAGAATCAAATTCGCCTCGTTAAATGGTTTTAAAAAGTAGATTATATTGGTACTTATACATATATCTCAGGAATATTCTTCTAGATTCATTCAAATTCCTCCAGATTCCTCAAGTGCTTAATTTATATTATACAATAAATATCTTTGTAATGGCATATGTGGTCAACTCAAAAGCAAATTTAGGAGGTACTTTGCATTATCTGTTATAATGATATATGTAGATAATTTAGTTATAATTTTATTTTTTAGAGTTATTCTAAATTATGTTTCATATGCAAAGTTAGGGATTGCTCTGTGTATTTTTAAATAATGGCCGACGTATGTAGTTTTTTTTAACGGGAAACAGATTAGATATTATGATCATTTTAGTAATATTATTATTATGGCTAAGATAGCAATAATGGTCATTATATATGCATGAACTCGTAGTAATATATATGAAAACTCTCCATCCATTCATATATATAGGATCGTCGGCTACAACTCAGCACCCGAGGCCAAATTCTTTCTCGGTGTTCCGGCTGCTTTCTACCATCTGAGACACGTTTTGCGGGTCACAAGTGCAACAAATATTGTAGGCCTACTCGCCATGGCGCCAGCATTGGTTGTTCTAGCTCCCATTTTCTTAGCAATAGCATGCATGTCGTTATCACTTATTCGTCTTCATGGCATTACTAATCCTAGAAGGCATGATGAGTACGGAGGTCCCAACAATGGCGGCAATCTGAAGCCAGCACTCATCTTGTTCTACAGCCTGGTGCTCGCTCAAGGTGTGCTGTTCCTCCTGTGGTTCCCGGTTGCGATGAATCGCCTGGACATTGCTAAACCTTTGGGTTCCAAGTACTTGGCAAACGAGCTTCTTCGAAGAAAGAAAAACTTGGAAAACTACAGTTCATCAAGAAATAACAATAAAGATCAGGTAAACGAGGAGGAGGAGATGGAATTGGTTGACAGATATGTTACCAGCATAGCGGAGACGTGCATCCAAAAAGGCGTGTCTGGCACCATCAACACTACTCTAGTCTCGTTTGCAGCAGAATTGTTATTGCAGTCTCAACACCCCGATGACTACATCTCTGCAGTCTCAGTTCTACACTCGCTGGTGATTAAGAACAAAGAACGTTCAGATGCAGCGATTGACCAGATTTGTGCCTCGGAGAAGTTGGTTTGCAGGCTTGTTCGGATGCTACGCTCCTCAGGGAATCTTGTTTCTATTCCTCAGCCTCAAAGAATAGAAACTGCCAAACAAACCAAGAACGACCTTGATGTAGATATCAAGGCACACGTCGCACAAATTGTCGCGAAGCTTGCCTGCAAGCTGCGCCTAGCAGACATACCTGGCGCAGGGCACTGCATATCATCCCTACTTGATTATTCACATCCCATTTCCATGAAGGTGAGAAATAAGACAGGCAGCAGCGACGACGATCGAGGAGGTGTAAATTATCAGCTGAGAACCACTGACATCGAGAGCGAGAGCCGGGACCGGGACCAGGACCAGGAAGAAGAAACTAGCAAGCCCCTTTTTCTTCATGGACTTGTGATTCTTCGCGAGCTTGCTGCGGACCCGGAGAACTGCACAGAGATGTACAGCACCATGGATCTTGTGCACAAGATCATAGCGCCAATTAGCAGTGGGCTACTTATGGCCATCAAGAATGATGAAACAACAGTTGAGGTTGTGAAGGAATCCTTACGCGTGCTGGCCAAGCTTACCAGCGGGACAGCAGGTGAGAGCGGTAGGAAATTATGCCATGAATTAACAACAACAACAACAAAATATGGCAGCAGGACAGCTGAAAACTTACTTTGGATCTTGAGAAACAGTAGCGACCAGGAAATGGGAGAGAGAGCTACTGAAATCCTCTCGAGGCTAACTCTGAGTAAACAAACAATGCACGACTTTGTTGTCGTGCTGCAGCGCCGCCTACTCGTCGATCCTGATCAGGACAGCCCACTGAGAACTGAGGCAGCAGGGAAAGCGCTGAGCGCCCTTGTAACATCCCGTGGGCATGAGTTTCGGGACAAGTTTCCAGACATTCATCAGCTGCTCACAATCATGGGTGCTGCTGATGATGCATACTGTAAGGAGTACCGGGTGGTGATGGCAGAAATGTTGGCAAAAATTTGTGCCAGGTCCAGAACAGATCAGGATAGGAACCTCCTCAGCTCAGTAGCGTCCAACGCATTGTCCACGGTACGTATATATACATACTAATTACATATATATATAAATCTTCTAAAGAATATATTTGTTTCAATACGAACTAAGATGCATGTAGGTTAAAAAAAAACTAAGATGCATGCAACTATATATGCAAAAATTAAGATTCATGTTCACCTTTCCCTGCCCATCTTTCAGATTTTCGTCCTCACCACGAGACATGTTTACACCAATTTCACATAGATAAGGGTCCTTTTTATGAAAAAAAAAAACAAATAGTGGTAGACCGTTGTCCAGGTGAAATTTTCAGTATTTAGGTTTCAATAATTCTTGTCATCGTACTAGTAGTGTTCAAACACCGCAGGTACTGAAACGAATTCGATGAGGTGAGCTGACATACAACAGTTCTTCTCCTTCTCACTGGCAGCTTATGAATCTTTTTTTTTCATTGCCACTGCTGCAGGTACTTAAAGCGATAGTAACTGAAACTGGCATGGACAGGAAGTTTCTCGCGTCGTTCTTAGGCCTTGCAGTGCAGATACGTGAGAAGCTTGCGACCGCGGAGGCTTTTGCGGATGCGGTGACAGGGCTTCTTCCAATGGGGAACAATGTTTTTGCAGAGAAGCTGGAGAGGATCATTGAGATGACGAACGACAGCGAGGATGAAACTTGCCTGGCGATCATGAAGTCCGTGACTAAGCTGGTTACGTGGATGACGGAAATCGACACCATCAGCCCCGGTTATAGCATAGAGTACTTCCCGCGGGACAACATTGTTAATAAACTGGAGGACGCCGTGGAGGCTATGGCTCACCTCGAAAGGTACATGGTTATGACTGGTGGCGCTGATGAGAACAAAGGTTATGTGACGCTTCAGATGCTTGTGGAAACAGCTAGGAACAAGCTGGTTTCACCTTCATGGCAGCAGCGTTAGAATGCAAACCAAACCTATGGGTGCCGGGGCGGAAGTTCAACCCTTGTCATCTACTCATGTCCTTTGTTATGTTCCTTTGTGTGATTTTTTTTAGATCAATGTACTGTATAAAAGAAACCTTGTGGTTTTCTTTTCTTATGGAACTTGGCAAGAATCTATAATAGTTGTGGTTAATTTGATGTATGTTCTAAGACAGGCGGACTCAAGCCTGAACTATTTCTATTATCTAAACATAGTAAACCTTAGTGGAAGATATCTGTTCCCTATGCTACAGACTACACTACACGGTCACCTTAAGAGCAGATCCAGTGTAGATGAGATTTGAAACGTCAATGCATTGCCTCGTGCGAGCAGCGGTGCTTCAGATGCACCATGCAGGATGGGCCTATATTCAATAAAATACAACAGCTCAACTTAACTGCTATATATCATTGCTATAAAAAAAAACTTAACTGCCATCTAACAAATAAATAATATTCTACAGTATTTATTTATCAACTGAAGCTTCGATGTCTGCTTTCTCCAAATTAGCATAGGTAGCTAAACGATGCTCTAAACAAAACATGATAGAGAAGAAACCAAGGATGGTTCCGTTTCTAGCGCCAAGGACTTCGGGTTAGGCTTCAAGAATTTTATTTTTTTCGAGATCGTGCCTCGAATTAAGCTTCAAGAAATCGAACGCCTGTCTGGCTTTTAGCCCAAGCCCAATGAATAAGACACGACCTAGTGCAGCCTAATAACACAGCAACGCATGCATCTCTAGCAGACTACGTTTTTGTGCTTCTTGATCCACCATCAATGAATGTTTTAAGCTGTGCTTGTTATATTATCCCGTTGCCACCACACCATGCATCACGCAAACATTTGATCATTAAATTTAAGAAAGAATGAGTAACCATTCCATAGATCGATCACGTTGATATGGTGTCAGAAATTAATCTCACCGACAAATTACAGTTACAGCAGCAAACGCAAACGGCGAACCCTTGACGGTTCACGCAACCACTCACGCAATGTTAAAGTAGCAGTAGTATATAACTGTCTAGGAAAAAGTCCATATTACCTCATTAACTTTAGCGAAACTCCGCTTTTCCTCCCTGGACTTCAAAATCGGGCAAAACACCTCCCTCAACTTTTAAAACCGTTCATCTTACCTCCCTGTCCCTGTTATAAGCAGTTTTAAAGGTGGTTTTGTCTTTTTCTTTTTTTATTTATTTCGGCTAAATCTTTAAAAAATTATAGTAAATCACAGAAAAATCATAAAATCAAAAAATCCAATTATGAATTATTCCAATTAAGTACATAAAAGCATAGATCTAAAACCACAGTAAAAACTTTGTAATAAAGCATATCATATTATATGTTCACTGTGTAGATTTACTCATGTGGAGTCCAACAATATTGAATTTTCCATTTTATGATTTTTCTGTGATTTACTATGATTTTTCAAAGATTTAGCCGAAATAAATAAAAAAGAAAAAGACAAAACCAGCTTTAAAACTGCTTATAACAGGGTCAGGGAGGTAAGATGAACGGTTTTAAAAGTTGAAGGAGATGTTTTGTCTGGTTTTAGAGTTTAGAGAGGAAAAACGGACTTTCGCGAAAGTTGAGTAAGGTAATATAAACTTTTTCCACGAAGAAATGCTACTCGAGTCCATGTCACCTCATCCATTTCAACAACCTGAATGCGACAACCCATTACGCCAATTAAATCCTAGAATTCTTTTTCAATTTGGCTCGAGTTCATGCACGAATGGATTTACGTGTACCGGCCATGGAAACGACGACCTCCCATGGAGTTACTTTTCGTGATCTCCGCCAGGGAATAGAGACAAGAACTTGATTGGGGCAATACTAAGAGTAATAGAAAATCCACAATTGCAATCACGGCCTAGCTAGTGCCACCAAATGCAACCTCAAATGCACATATTAAGGTTTTCCATATCCTCTCTCAAATGAGCACCACACTTGAAGAAGGAGAGGAGAGGGAGGAGATGCTCTTGAAGCTCTCAAGGTCAATACTAGAGCTCGACCTCTCACATGAATGGAGCACAAATCCTTGGGAGCTAGTGAGAGAGGAGAGGAGAGAGCTTGTTCTTCTCTTTTGGATCTCAAATGAGCAATAGGGAAGAAGAAATGAGCAAGAGAGAGCAAGAAATGTTCTCACGGAAAGAGAGAGCACCCCTAAAAACACTCAGCTCGTGCTCCTGACTGTTGGGGTAGCCAGATGTGAGCTGAACCAAAAATTCCGGGTAGGGCCTAAAAAATTTCAGGGCAAAGGTTCTCACGGAAAAATTACGGTTAGGGCAAGATAAAATGCCGGGTAGACCTTCCCTGGTTCCCTGTTTGGCGTAGTTTTGCTTCTCCTTTTTTCCTCTTTTCATGTACTATCTCTTTCAAAAGATCTAAAACAATTTTGAGCAAGAGATATCATTTATCACAAAGATTTTTTTTAGGGTTTTCTCATGCATCCTCACAACGTTACTAAGTGCAAAAGTATATGCAAATGAAATTACACTTAGTGACACTAGATAACCATTGCAATTAAAGATTTTTCCTCTTTATAATACGATTATCTATCCTAAACCTAGTCACGCACTCTATTACGTCTTGATTGCCAAAACAAAATGGCCATTTACTTATACCTTTGCCTTAAGCCCATTTTGTTGTTCTCTTTCTTCTTTTCCATGTTGGAGCACTAGAACAACATATTTTGGTCATCTCTATCACTTGAGTGCCATCTGGCTCCACCATGGATGTGAACCAATCTATCTCATACATCACTTAGAGCAAAGGATTAGTTCACATAGGTTTCTTCTCATTAAAACCAAACTAGGGCTTTCACCTGAGCGTGCGCCTGCTGCCACCTCAGCGTGGCTGCCCGCCTCGTTCGCTGGTTCCGACGCGCCACCAGCCAGCTTGCCACCAACCGGCTCGCCGCCAGCCACCTCACCAGTGTCAGCGCCGCCACCACCGCCGCTACCGTCACCTGTTATGCCCAGTGCTGCTGTCCCTACGGACTCATTGTCCCAGGCTATTGCCAATGGCGCCGGGCGCACTACCGGCCGGATGTCTTCCATGACCTCATAGGCCATCGTGCCGGTGACAAATGCGCACAATAAACGCACCCGTGGCAAAGCTGGCATTCGCCAACCCATGGACCGCCTCAACCTCAACACGGCGGTCCTCTCCCCGGTGCCAACGACGTTTCACACTGCTCTTTCTAACCCGCACTGGCATGCTGCTATGCAAGCCGAGTTCGATGCGCTACAAGCTAATAACACTGGACCTTGGTTCCTCGCCCGTCTGGTGTTAATGTTGTTACAAGGAAATGGATCTTCCATCACTTGGCTCCGCTACAAAGCTCGGTGGGTTCTTCGCGATTTACTCAGCATCCAGGAATTGATTATGATGAGACCTTCAGCCCTATCGTCAATCTACTACTATTCGGGTGGTACTCACATTGGCACTGTCTCACTCTTGTCCCATTCAACAGCTGGATATTATGTCAAGAATGCATTTTTACATGGGACATTAATAGAGACAATATACTGTGTTCAGCCATCCGGGTTTGTTGATTCTTCCAGACCCGACCATGTCTGTCGATTGAACAAGTCTCTCTATGAATTGAAGCAAGCTCCTCGCGCCTGGCACAGTCGCTTCGCTTCTCACATAACCTCCCTTGGTTTTGTTGAAGCTAAGTCTGACACCTCCCTGTTTATTTTCTGTTGAGGCGCTGATATGGCTTTCTTGCTCATATATGTTGATGGCATTGTTCTTACGGCTTCATCTACGAGCTTTCTCTAGCACATTATTTCAGCTCTTCGCCGAGAATTCTCTATGACAGACATGGGGCATCTTTATCATTTTTTGGGTGTCAAGGTTGAGCGCTGAGATGACAGTTTGTTCCTCTCACAGAGACATTATATGTTGGATATTCTGGATCATGCTGGTATGCGTGACTGCAAGCCGTGCAGCACCACTGTGGATACTCACTCCAAGCTCGTCGATGATGGGGCCTCTGTGTCTGACCCCACCCATTATCGCAGCATAGCTGGGGCCCTCCAACATCTCACTTTCACCCGCCTGGATATTGCCTATGTTGTTCAACAAATCTGTCTTCACATGCATGACCCGCGAGAGCCTCACCTCGGCGCCATAAAACGCGTCCTGTGGTATCTCCAGGGCACTTTGGATCTTGGTCTTCACCTGTAATGGACCTCACCGGCTGATCTTATTATTTTGGTCTTCTTCGTCACGCTACAGTTGTCTATTGTGACAACATCAGTATTGTCTACCTCTACACCAACCTCGTCCAGCACCAGCGCACTAAGCATGTCGAGATTGACTTGCACTTCGTTCGAGAACTAGTCGCCTTCGGTGAAGCCCGTGTACTGCACGTTCCCACTTCGTCCCAGTACGCCGACATCTTCACCAAAGGTCTGCCGACGTCCGTCTTCACAAAGTTTTGTGCTCCCAATTTCGACTGCGGGGGCGTGTTAAAGAGTAAACCAGCCCGTGGGCCTACCGACCTAGGCTCACTACCGTATGCACTGATTTCCCTGAGTAATGTCTTGAGTATTCCCTACTCCATTCTCTCTCAGTCAGGATCAGGAGAGGCCCGCCGGTTTAGGTAGAGGCACACGCCCTTTGCATTAAAGAAAAAAGATTTCGAGACAATAAGTACTTGAAGCATATTTTTTATCAGATTTTCTACCTTCAGGAAGATCTTTTATCAGCTCAGAGATTTCAGAAGGAAGCTGGTAGGATTCGTTATCATTGAAAGAGAGAATATATGCAAGGAATTCTTTTCGCATCTCTATCGATTCCTGTATAGTATCAAAGACCACCACAGAAAAACAACAAAGTCATTAGCTTAAAAATCCATGATAATAATACAAGTAAAGAAGAAAACAAAGACCATGCATCCTAATGATTGTAGCTTACGCTAATGATTCAACACACACACTCTCTCTCTCTGCCGTTGAGACCACATTCCT